TCCACATGTCTACCCTACTTTTATAATTTTTTTATCATAAATCTATGGATTAGATTTATGATAGACTTTTGAAACTACAAGAACATAAGGAGGACTTTTACAAAAAAGTAATAGAAATGTTTGTCCAGAAGGATAGGCAAATGGACTTCATCTTCAAGTCAAGGTAAGACCGCCATTTTATTGAAAATGGGATCTTACTAAGAGAGAACAATTCAATATTTAAATGATAAAATTACATTTGTTGGGTATCCTTTTGTTGAACTGTCTGTTTAAAATTAATCGAAGCATCAGACAAAAAAAGCTTTTGAAAATAATATTATATTTTGGTTTAGGTCAAAATATAATATTTGTAAACCTGAAGAGTCAGTGCCAGTGTCTCACCAGCCATGAACCTCACTGCACGTCACTGCATAAGCTTATATATAGACATCTAAGTTTTTTGTGCCCCACCACTTTTGTACATATAAAAACGCCACTGCATAGCAGATCCAGCGATCCATACTCGTCATGTGCACGAGCATAGCCCCTCCTCCAGCACCCGGCTCCCGCACGAGTCAACAGCAGACTCGCAGATTCGCAGATTCGCAGATTCGCAAATCCTGACTCGCTGCAACACACAGCGGATCAGACTCGTGCGGACTCGGAGCCGTATATAGCAGCAGATCCAGAGATCCAGCAGACTCGTCCTCATGCACGAGTCAACAGCAGACTCAGATTTGCCAAATCGCAAAATAACCCTTTTTTTTGGGATCAACATTTTTTATTAAAGCAAAATACACTGTGTAGCGGAGGTTAATATAACGTCAGTTTAATAGATAGATAGATAGATAGTACTTTATTGATCCCAAATTGGGAAATTGTTGTTACAGCAGCATAAAAGGCATTTTACAATAAAACAAAACTACAAAATATACAAGAATAGAAAGAAAAATAAAATAAAATATAAAATATAAAATATACATGTCGAAATAGAAAATATACATGCAGATATTATATATATATATATATATATATACAAATATATATATATATATTCAAAATATATGGAATAATAATATGCTCGTGAAATGCATCAACTTTTCGGTTTCACCGATAGGATTTCTACGGTCTTGGTCATGCTGACTCATATGACTCAAATGACTCGTATGATCCGGATCTCTTCAATGACTGACTCAGAAGACCCTGAGTCCGTAAAATGATCCGGATTTGCCATCTCTGAGCTGTCAGAGCGGTGCCTCTCAGAAGAGCAGCCGCTGGGCGGAGTCACAGAAACGCTCAACTTATTGTAGCATTTGACAAAGGGAGTCGGAAACAGGCTTCAAGTTATTGGGGTTTAATAACTCCTTTGTTCGCAAACGGTCACAGGTTACAGGTTACAGGTTCATCATCACTCTGAACTCCACTCCCTACTGTAACTCCCACACACAAGCAGGGTCCACGTCACAACTTCCCAGCCCTCCCCCCTCTGCTCCCCAACCACAGGCCCGCACACCGACCAGCATCACTGTGCAGCTCTGTGATTGGCAGAGAGACGGGGATGCTTGAGTGACACACTCAGCACCCTATACAGGGTCGCTACACTACCCCTCTACTACAAAGTTCCTCGCCCACGAGGAACAAATAAAACCTAGAACAAAAACCTGCAACTAAACACTAACCCACAGCAGCGAGAACGTGTAACACATTTTTTTTTAGTTGAACTAGGAAGGTCTGGGTGGACTACCATCCCTTCCAGTGAGACCAGGGCGCATTCTTGCCCTCTACAGGAACCGAGGGGTCTCACTATAAACTTTAACTACCACCCAAAGTCTCTGAACCGACTCGGGGGTCGTGTCTGCCTTCTCGGCAGGGGGGCTGGGGACAGGGGGTGCCGGTTCTGGTCCAGGCGGGGAAAAGGGAAGAAAGTGGGGGGGAACTCAGTCACTGACGGGGGGGCGCTGCTCCGCTCGCCGGGGGACCTGGGTGGGGGTGTCGAGGGGGAGGCTGTGGACCCCGGGGGTCCCTTGGGCATGTGGAGAAGTGACTCCTCTGTACGGGGCTAACCTGTCTCTGTGGAGCACAACTTTTCTCCCCTTGGGAGGCAGCTGCACCCTGTAGACAACGGGAAACTGTTGCATCGGAGCCTGGGAACGACCAGGGGGACCCTTACGAGCCATACAAGGGTCACAGCGGCGACAGAAGTCTTCGACATCCCTCCGGCACTGCCCCCAGTAGCAGCCCTGGCGATGGCGGCGGAGAGTCTTAGTGACGCCAAAGTGTCCAGAGCCTGCCTTTCCATGCATGGCCTTGAGTACAGCCTCTTGCAGACCCTTCGGGACCACCACCTGCCATCTCTTCTCCCCCGTTGCTGGCTCCTTCCACGCACCGTGTGGTACGCCCTGACACAGACGCAGAGCCTCAAACTGAGACCACAGCCCCTTGGTTGCTTTTGGAGAACACTGCCACCTCGGTGCCACACTGCCACCTCCCACGGTGGCCGCTGCTGCGCCTCAACCCACTGCAGTACAGGCTGTAGGTCTGCGTCCCCCTCTTGCTGTTGCTTCCACTCTGCCACGTCCACTGTCTGGAGCTCCCGGCAACTAACCTCTTCAACTTGTCGAGCTGCAGCACAGACGGTGTCCTCCTCCAGTAGCTCCTTTTCACGGGTCTCTCTCCTCTCACAGTAGTGGCATCCGCCGGCGGCACACGGGCGGTGGTTTCTAGGTTCGGTTTCTAGGGTACTCACGGGGTGTGTAGAGGGTCTCCCAGCAGATTCAGCAGGGGTGTGGATACGGGTCATAGTGATCACTGGTCCCCCGTGGAAACTCACTGTGCCTGCTTGAAGATCCAGGTGGCAACCAGACGCCCTCAAAAGGTCCAAGCCCAGAATACACGGGTCCTGCACTTCTGCTATCCACACCGGATGATGCACTTCAACTCCCCCCACCGACACAGTCAGCATGCCTTTTCCTTTCATAGGTGCCAGCTCTCCCGTGACTGTGCGTAGACGCACCACTGTCGGTTCTAATTGAGTCCCACTGGGCAACACATCTGCTCTCACCAGGGTTACTGTTGAGCCCGTGTCCACCAGTGCAGTGCAGGGCACCCCTTCCACAGTGACAGGGACATAACAGGAATCCCCACCACCAGCACGGCCCACCGCAACGACAGGCTCCAAGCATGTGCTGTCATCTTCTTCAGGAAGGAGTAGAGCCTGGCTCCCCCGGCTGTGCTGTCGGGCTCCTTCCTCGGATGTCTGTGTTGGTGGCAATAAGGCTGTGGTTTGGTTGGGGTTTTTGGGCCTGGTTCCGCATCTTCCCCTTAATGCGGGCCCCACGTCGTTTCCCTGGGCCCGGTGTGCCTTGGGGCAGTCTCTGGCTAAATGTCCTGGCTGACCACACCCCCAGCAGACCCTGTTACTTGGCCTGCGTGTTGGCTGCAGAGATACAGCCCTTATCAATTCAGTCATTTCAGCAACCCATGCAGGCTTCTCCTCCTCTCTGCAGCTCCTCACAACCGGTGGTACCGGCCCTTCGCTGCTCCTAGCAGCTACACTCCACACATTCTCTCTCTCCACAGCCATCTCCAAGGCCGCCTGCAAGGACTGTGGATGCTGCAGCTGTACCTCGACCCTCAAGTCCGCAGGGAGGAGGGCCCTGATCTGTCTGTCTGTGTCTGTTTCAGTTTCGCCAGCAAGACTGCTGGTAGACCAGCATAAATACCAGCTTCACCACCAGCATAGACCAGCTTAACTACCAGCTAAAACCAGCATAGCCCAGCATGACATCCATGCTGGGCTATGCTGGTTTAGCTGACCAGGCTGGTCTTGAACCAGCAAGAACAGCCTGGCCAGCTTGTCCAGCCTGGTAAACCAACTAAACCAGCCTAAAACCAGCTAAAAACCAGCTAAAACCAGCAACCATCTTAAACTGGTCTATGCTGGTTTTTTCAGCAGGGATAATGGAGATGAATGGAATTAAGTTTGTTTCTACACCTATCCCTGTTGTAGAATTCTGAGAACACACTAGAGGTATTTCTGTTTTTTTATTCAGTGTATTTTGGTTGTGTAGTTTGTTCTGGAAACATTTTTCATTTGTTTTAACGATTTTAACATGAAAGTAAAGCATTTAGGTGCTCTAAGAAAATGTCATTTTGATTCTGTATTAAAGAGGAGGTTGATTAAAGATCAACTAGATCAGAGCAGATTCAGGTAGAATACTTCTTTTTGACTCTTGAAATGTTTTATGAGGAATAAAGGCTACACATACACTAAAGGCCTGAGTGATTAATACAGATGAATTAATGAGTCTGATTGTAGCAAACATGTTGTTCAGCCTGTTGCGCCTGTAGTATGCACACTACGCATTTCAAATGGTGAATAGCCAAATGGTGCAAGTAAAAGTTGTGCTGATAAAATCGCCACTTTCTCATAAAGACGCTGTTTGTGTTAAGATTCCTGCCATCTTTATATTGTACTCTTTCGTATTGCCTTATATTTGGCCTCATTGCTTTGGTTTCTGTGGCATGTCCGACACCAATATGTACGGTTCAATTTAAACCTCAAGTGGAGAAGATCATGTTGTGGTTTGACAGAAAACAAACAGAGAGCTTACCTCAGATGTGTCGATGAGGATCCGATGTGGTGTGTGATGAGCCCAGAGCCACACATACAGACAGAGGTGGAGGAGTTTCCCAAAGAATACCAAATTACTCAAACTTGAGAAGAGTTGGAATTGATTGCAGTTTTTCTGTCTGAGTTGGACTTCTGTGTGTCTGTGATTCTGGATCCAAGCTAATGCATGAAACATGGAGAACACTATGAAACAAAGGCTCATCATACAGAGATGTGTTTGCAGCAGCATCCTGAGGCATCTTTTTAAACCCTGTAGCCACTTATATATTTATTGTATCCGACTTAATGTAAGTTCAGTGGCATACACATGTGCCTTGATGTTAAAAGCATGTGCCACATAAAAGGTGATGATAAAACACAGTGAAAGAAAAAACATCATAAATCACAATCAAGACGTACATAAAAAAAACCTTTATTATTGTTGTAAGGTAAGATTGACAACAACATGCTTTTACCACAATAAAAAATTAAAAGATATTGCACTGGTTTTACTCTAGCAATGTTTTTTTTCTCTCTTCATGTCTTTCTCAAGCTTTAACGGTGCACAGATGAATCTTTCTTCTCCTCTTCGTTACTCTTTAAAGACAAAACACAAAAACACACAGCTTGGAAATCCTGCCCTTATCGGCAAGAGTCAAGTCTGTCAACGTTTCTCACACACGACCCCTCAGAGGCAGATAGGAGCTCAACAGACGGCACACTGAAACATCACTGCATCTCCTGTAACGTGGTTCTGAACATGTGTGTGTGTGTGTGTGTGTGTGTGTGTGTGTGTGTAGCTTCACCTCATACCTTGTCATAACCAAAGCCTCTTGTTGGAATCCTCTATGTGCCTCACAGACAGAGCTGGTTATTTTACACGCTCAGATTGAGAGATTTACGGAAGCTCCTTAGTGACAAAACGTCTGTAATTCATGGTTTGATATCTGCAAGCAGGCAGGACATTTTTTTTAAATCTGTTGTTTCAAAACTGTAATAAATGTAAGAGAATGCACACACGTTTTATCTTTCCATTTGAAAGCTTCCTGCAGCTGTTTCAACAGGATTCACAAATATGTATGGAAATTAATTGCTGTCAATAATACCACAAGATATGTCCAGGCGCATGCTCTCAATTCCCGACTTTCACACTGATTACAGATTCAATTTGACCCCTAGGCCGTTAAATGAACTTACGAAGCTCAGTGTCTGGTTTGTGGGCCTCAGCCGCAGAGCAGCAGAGGTGCATGATGGGTCCACACAGGCTGCAGGCCGAACAAACTGCTAACTGCTGAACTGACCGGACCGAGCCTGAGGGATGCTGGGAAGTGTTTTAGTTGGCCAGCGTGTGTGTGTGTGTGTGTGTCAACAGGCTCAGGGCTGGAGATTAATGACTCCACCAGGGAACCTGACACTTGCTTCAGTCTCCAGCAGATGGCCAGACCATCATCTTTACACTCGGGAGAAGGTGTGTTTGTGGGGTAAGTATGTATGTGTGTGTGTGTGTTTATACTGTTAGAGGAGATGGTAAACTGGCACCGCTGTATTAGATGGCACAAGTATTGATCTGTGCGTGTGTGTGTGTGTGTGTGTGTGAGGCAGCTGTCTGTGTAGCACTAATAGGACGACCAGCTGCGAGCAGATGGACTGGAGTGTGTGTGATTACACGCAAACACACTCAGGTTCCAATTATCTGCAGATGAAGTGGACGGCGGTGTTTCATCAGAATGTAAAACTGAAACTCTGACAGCCTGTGGAGATTAAAGCACCGACAAAAACTCATACTGAAAGATTATTGAGGGACAAAATTATTGATCAAGAGTCGAATTTCAGGTTTGAATGAATCCGGCTGTTTTAATTGGTCAGGATTCAAGAGCACACAGGGACAAATCATGAAGCAACAAGCTGATTTATTGTGGTTTTATCGAGGCACCGGATGGACAACAAAATGGATCTGATTGAAATATGATGGTCAATATTTGTTTCGATTTGGTAAGGGTCACTAAACTAAACTACGTAGTGTAGACACAGTTTCTAAAGGACCTTTATCATATCTTTGGCATTTCTGTATAGACTTTACTTGTAATCCCGGACATATCAAGTTCTGCTGATAATATTGCAGCTCTAGTTTTAGTTTCAGATTCAAGTATAACAGCCTGATCTTGGGTGCCACCAGTCTTAGAATTTGTGCAACAAAGCACAAAGTATCATATTCCGAATGACCTTTGATTTTGAACAAGCTCGTACCAGGTACATACCCAAACCGGCCAATTATTTACAGCCAGACTTGTTACTTGCACAAAGCTACTGAAAAACTTGTGTTTATGTCTTTGCATGCTCTAAAACTTCAGTCAGTGCTTATTAATCTGTCCGTGCTCGCTCTCAATTACAACCTGCAGACTGATTCTACAAATGTGTTTAAATGTTGTTCCACTTTGTCCTCTTTTGTCTCTGAAATAGTCTTCTAATTGTCCTGGTGAAACCACGCTAAGAGGCAAGAAGCTCGTGTTGTGTGTGAATAACATCCAATGTGGTCGGTTAATCAACAGGACTTTTCATATCCGACGCCCCAAACGGACAGAAGCAGTTTTTGAAATGATTAGTCTCAACGTCTCGTCTTATTGGCCGGAGTGAACTGCAGATACACCTTGAGATGTTACCAAGTCAAACAGTTTGCTTCCTCTCCCACGAGCCTACATGCTGATCATTTCTACAGACGCACCTGTTAACTCCATTCTGCGCCGCCATGAGACAAGAGGTGCGACATGCACGAGAGCGGAGATGATTTTGACATGTGTGCGCTGAATCCTCTCCTTTCTACACACCCTCCATCACAGGTGACCTCTTCATCACACAGCTACATATTCACACCACATATTCACAGGTCAGGAGTCACCTAAACACGTCATTGGTAATTATCCTAGCCTGTCAGAGGAGATTGATTGCTACAGGCAACAAGTTCCATTGACACAAAAAAAACAAAAACACATTGAGATACAAAAACAAGAACATGTAAACATATTACAGAGATTGCCACAGTCAGTGTTGATGTCACTCTAACAGAGTCTTTTCAACCTTCAAAGCTCTAGTCTAGTTCAACTGAAATCAGTGAGCTCTGCTTTCTCTCCCGACAGTGACACAAAACACTGAGGGAGGTTCAGTTCATCTTTAACTCACAGGAACATCCTGCTTTTCAGAAAACGTTCAAATGTACAACACAAGTGGACTCACACCAGGGGTTGGGCTCACACCAGGGGTTGGGCTCACACCAGGGGTTGGGCTCACACCAGGGGTTGGGCTCACACCAGGGGTTGGGCTCGGTGGGCATTCAATGAAATGGGAATTCTTTAAAACTGTCAAATAAACCAAAAAGAAATAAAACATCTTGCCTTCAAATGAACAGTAGGAATCAGGAACGGGATCACAACGGACTAAATGAAAGATAATATATCCGAGAAATGGTTTTTAACAGGCTTACTGCATTTTAGTTTTAGCGATAGCAGTACTGAGCTCCAACCCAACACACAACAGTGAGCGGACACAAATCTCCTTCGGCTTTCCTTTTAGTGATTCTTTGCCTTTCGTTTGACAAATGAGATAAAAGTTTTGTGCAAAGCCTGACGCCCGACACGTAGAGGGCTCGGCCACATACACAGGTAGCAGGGTGTGATCCTAAGACACACGCACGCAGACACACACTCAGCGTATAAAACAGATGCAAACAGAACTTTAAATATTCTTATACACATGTGTATCTGTATATATAAACATACACACACAGATTACCATGCACAAATTAACAAAGCTCTCTCCCTCTCACACACATATACAAAGTCAAGTCTGATGACTTTACAGGATTATAGGCAAAAAACACAGCAAGTTGGTCCAGATACCAAATACAACTACCGCAGCCTTCAGAGGCTGATGGGGCGAGAAATAAAAAGGCGGTGGTCCAACCGAAACATGTTTTCTAAAATAACCTCAGTCAATCTAAGCAAGCTCAGTTTCGGAGTGTCGATAAAACCAATAAATCAGTGTTCAAGTCCTTGGCTATGCGTGTGTTTGGAACTAAAACACGTGTAAAGGGCAATCTAAATCTGAAGTGCAGAGTTAAAACACATTTGATAAGCCTGCTAACGTGGTATATAGAGAAGAACTAAAGCGAGGGCAAGTGTGCTAATGCTAATATGCTAGGCTTGGGTTTTAAAAGGATATTTATTTCAGTAATTAGCTTGTCAAATATGAGGGTTTTCTAATAGTTTATCAAAGCGCTAATCTTTTGGGAAATCTAAAATGATTAACTAGAGCTAGCATGCTTTTTTATCTGGCACTAGCAACACATGAAAGTGATGGTTAGCTACGCTAGCTAGCTAGGAGTAAACCCTAAAGAAGAGTTTCTTCAATGTCAGAGCTCATGTCATGTCTGGGTATTTTCCAACATGGAACCAGATGTAATATTTGAATCACAACGCTATAGCATTTTAGCTAGTAGTCACATGTTGAACTAAAGGAACAATGTTTATCATTTCTATGCAGTGGAGGCTTTCAATTTGGAAGGAATGTAATCTGTTCTAGCTCTTAGGGATGAATGGCTAGACCTTGGATAAAGAACTGAAACATCTAGGAAAACTTCGATCAATCCAGACATTAAACATGAAGCTGGGTGATGAGTGAGGAGAGTGCTACGGTTTAGGAATAGGCTGTAGATTCAATCTAATTCATGGGCCTTAGTGTACACTTGGTCATTCAGCACAGACACAAGCCCTGACATTCCCAAGAATCCAATCCTATAACCACGCCTGGAGTCCGTGCTCAGGGGATATACCTCCCTGCCGCAGGCCTGCAGTGCTGAGCCTGAGGGACTACATCTAGAGTGGAATTTGATTTGGCCTATCTGGGTGCTGAGTGTACATTGACGGTGCAGATTAAGTCCTATTAAAAACGCTGTAATGCATTTACACAGATTGCTAAACATACGCTGCACTTTATTGCTGAGATACAATCTTTTTCAAGTGTCGCCTGGGTAGACATTGTCAGGCAAGGAGGGAAGGGAAGAGGGGAACAAGTGTGTGTTCTGTAAGGCACGTCCTGATCTGTATGTAGAACATGCGTGAAGACTCTGCCAAACATCAAGGTGAAAAGTAATGAGGCAGCACAAGGAGATCGAGAGCGAGGAAGGTGTGTGTGATGTGTCAACGTTTTAAATTGTAAGTGCATGGACCACTGATCTTTTTATTTCTAGCCCCGTACATGTTTGCAGAAAGAGAAAAAAAACCTGCCAACTCCTATTGCCATTCAGTCTGAAAGCAGAAACCAAAGAGCACAGGACACCAAAATAACTCACATGAACACCGAGAGCACTGGAATGAAACTAGGACTGCTGCATCTATCTCTGCTCCTCAACCCTCTCTACGCCTTTCTTTTACTTTGAAAGTCAACCTCTCAGATGAATGAGAAGTTACTAATATGTTTTTCTTCCAAAACATGCAGATTGTGTGAGTTCTAAAACCTCAAACCAGCACTGAGCTGTGTGATCTGCTATTTTGGTTCCTGCTGCTACGTCTTCTTGCAGATTGCTTTGTCTTGTTGTGAGGAGGCGGACACGGCGTTGGTGGCGTTGGCAGTGGCCGCCTGGGGCTCGGACCTCTTCTGCTGTGGCTCAGCTGCTGCAGAGGATGCTGTGTTTGGGAACGGCAGAGCGGCTGCTGCGCCCAGCCTCTGTGCAGATGGACACATAGCAGCGGTCTCCCTACCCTCAGACCCTGATGCGGGCCTTTCTGGGACTTCCTTGCATGACAAAGACGGCAGGGCTGCAAAGTCTTTCTGGGTTAAAGGTTTGGTCTGCGAGGTGGTCAAGGGGGCAGCTGGCTCAGTCTTTTGTCTGGATTGGGACCCTGAAAGGTTGGGAGACTGAGGGGTTGGTAGCCCTTTGGATGGAAATGAGAAGGGGCTAGACGGTGGGACTTCTGGGGTGCCACCTCTGGATGGTATCTGGTCTTTCTGGCTCTTGTCAGCAGTGGTGTTCAGTTTGACAGGACCTAGAACACTCTTAGCTAATGTTGCCAGCTGGGACACAACTTTGTCCACAGTACTCTCAGGGGGCGGGACTGGGGAGTTGGCAGAGGAGCTGGAGCCAGAAGTGGACGAGGGCGACACACTCAGACTTGCAGCAGCCGCAGCACAAAGTCTCCGGTTGTCAGCCTCCTTCTTTTCTTTGGGGATACCAGGAGAGGAGCAGGAGGGGCGGGTCTCTTGGCTGTCGGTGGTTAAACTGTCTGTTGTACTGATGGTGGTGGGTCTGGAGTCTCTGGAGTCTCTGGAGTCTGTGGTGCTTCGGGAGTTGGTAGTATTTGTGACGGTTGTGGTAGAGGGGACTGCGGTCCTGGTGCTGACCAGGGTTTGCTCCTCTGATTTGGGATCAGATGGTGCAGCCTTCAGCATGGGACTCTTTAAGTCCGATGGAGGAGCAGGCTTGAGGAAAGTGTCCTTGTTGACTGAGATGAATGCACTGCCTGGGGTGGAGAAGGGAAGGGGGCACTGAATGGGTTTTGTACTTGGCTCAAAAACCTTCCTCTCTTGTCTCACGCTGTCTTCTGCAGATGAGACAGACCTCGGGTCCTTTACTCCCAGAGGGGAGGCGAACTGTCCAGGCTTCGTCTCTGAAACGGAGGGTAGTGTGTGCAAAGGAGTCGGCCTGCCTACCTGTGAGGGCCCCGTGTGGGAGAATGTGGCATGAGGGGTGCAGGGTGAGAGGCAGAGGGACGGCAGGGTGCCTCCAGGCCCGGTTCTCACAGTGGTGGGCCTCAGCAGGGGAGGGGGGGTAAAGGTTGTTCCCCTGCGTCCGTCCTGGCTGTCCTCCGAGCCTTCGTCCGTCTCGTCCTCTGAGGAGTCGACCTCGTGGATGGCGTCTTGCTTCTGCAGTGATTCTCTCCTCTCGGCTCTGTCCTGCCGGATGGCGGACAGTTTGTCCTTCAGCTTGCTCTTTCCGGGAGCCAGGCCCAGCGAGCCGGACACCGAGCTGAGGGAACTGTCCCCTTCCTGGCGCCCTAACTTCCTGGATGAGGAGGAGTGTTTCTGCAGGCTGCCCTTCTCCACGCCGCGTCCGGCAGAGGACAGCAGACCCTCGCTGGCTGACTCCTGAGGGTGGGGGAGGGATGAAACAAAAAAGATATGACAAAATGTAGAAATCCTTCAGTATAGTAGTTCAGTCAGCAGCTACACACTGATAAGATGACAATCACTCTGGCAAAATAACAAACTAGTTTGTGTCGCTGGTGATTTCTCTGTTGCTGGATCCTTTTGAAGAACATAAAACAGAAAAGGTTCTTTCAGGTTTAAATGTAATTCGCTTCAATGAGCTGCACAGAATTGCTTGTTTAGAAAAAGTTGTGTGCCTGTCTGTCTGTAAATATTTAACTTTTCTTTGTTGCCTGAAAATTATTCTCGGGTTAGTGTGTTGTTTCCAAATCAAACAGATTGATTCAACTTTGTAGATCTAAAAGACTTTTTATTTCCCGGTCATGCACATTCCTGCAGAAATAGCCTTCGTCCAATACATCTAAATTGGAGAACCACTGCGTTTTGGAAGAGTATCAGAATCTTTGTAAATCCCATCAATAGAGGTTCACATTTTTAGACAGTATTATGGCATCAATATATTGTCCACTTATGTGACGAAGTCCTACCTGTAGGCTCGTTAGGCTGGGTTCCCTCTGCAGAATCTCTTTCTTAAACTCTGAGTGTGAGATGTCCAGACTGTGTTTCCGGCTCGTTACAGACGCTCCCCCCGCTGTCACGCCAGAGGGAGAGGAGGGGGAGTTAGCGAGGGAGGAGGCGAGCTTCTCAGCTGACTGCACCCTCTTGAGGAGTGGAGAGCGTGGAGGCTCTGCGCTCTTAGGCCTGGATATCTGCCTCACTAGGGGAGGGGAGGAGTGGAGCTTCACGGGGAACGACTGACCCACCGTAGACTGGGCCAGAGCGTGGCAGGGCAGAGGGGAGGGGGAGCGCTGGGGCGAGCTGCTCTGAGGGGTGGGTGAGGGCGTGCGGGCCAGAGGGGAGAGGGGGATGTTGCCGGCTGACTTGCGTCTGGGGGAACGGTACTGCCGCTGGAGTTTGGGGGCGAGGCCGTGCAGAGAGCTGGGCCTGATGTGGCCGGAGCTCGCGGGGGAGTTAGGGACGCTGGAGCTGGGGGAGCTGCTCTGAGAGGAGTTCCCCCCAACTGAGGGGACAAGAAGTACATTCATAAATACACATTAGATGTGATGGGTTAGGGGCTTTTACAATATAATAATAAAAAATCAACCTAACTATTTTTTCCATTTATTCTGAATATTTAAAGCTAAATAATGCTTTAGACAAGTTATTCCCATTGCTTTGATTGTACACATTAAATATGTAACAAAAAAGCATAATTACATGTCATTTGCTATTTTCTTTCCATGTCTTATCACTATAAACTCAATTTCTAAGGTTTTTAACAATCTGTTTCAAACTTTATGGACCACAACAGTTAATAATTATTAGGAAACCAATAATTGATCAATAATTAGAATAATTACAAGTAGCTATACTCTTTATCCTTACAAGTACATTTATGTAGAATATGTTTCTTTTTTGTAAACAAAACTATTTATAAAAAAAAGTAAGAATCACTGTTTTACCCTTGATGAGGGAGAAATGCTAAATATCTTCATTCAAAGTGTCAAATATCATCAGAATCAGAATCAGTGTTATTACAAAGTAGGTAGTACACATGAGATGACTTATCATACAGTCCCTGAAAGCCATTGAATACATGTTAACATGTGTTTCTAACCTGAGTGGGCGGAGTCTGGCGTGGACCTGTAGCCCTGTGTGGGGCTCCGTGGGGACAGGTTGTGTGTGGGCGAGCCGGGGCCGCTCTCCCCTGAGGACAGGGAGCGGTTCAGAGAGGACAGACTGCGGCTGGTGTGCAGCAGAGATGCCTGCTTGGTGATCTTCCTGAACAGAGACGTCCTCTTCTTGCTGGCACTGAGAAACAAAACACAACAGCTTACTCAACGACCCTGCTTGAAATACACACAAAGTGATGTCTGATACAACACAGCTGTGTGTCTCACCTGTCCTGTCCCTCCTTGGTCTTTGTCTTCTTGTTACGTCTCGCCATCTTGGACCTTTGACCCGTCTTTCGAGCAGGGCCGACCTTTATGGACGTGTTCTCAAACGGGGTGGCAGCAATGGACACTTTAGGACCGCTCTGAGGGACGGAGAGCATTACAGATCTGGATTTAGGTGTCTTACTTAGATGTTGGTGTACATTTGAATTAAGTAAAACATGTAATATGTTTTACTTTTACTTTACATAAGTTTTCAAAAACAGCAAATAATAAAAACAAATTATGTTGTTAGTAATAGAATGAGGAAAAGAGTAACAACAAGAACATCAATAAAAAGTGTACAATTATATTATGTTAAATATGTTTTACTGTTATTCAAGACCTTTATGACGAATAGTCAGTACTTCTGGCAGGACTGAAAACTATTTCATGATGGATGTTTTTATGTCACCAATGTTTTTTAATTTGAACTAACATTAGTTTTTAATAAAAAGCACCAAATAATACAATATTTTCATGTCCTGACAAAAAAAAGACTAAAATCAAGATTACAAATAAAATAACTTGGTGTACAGAAAGAGAGTCTGTTTATCAATACTGTGTGTTTTCCATAAAACTTAGAGTTTAATTTAATGCAGTTTGTGTGTACCTTCAGTATGAGCTCCACCACCTCTGTGTGAACCAGACCGTGAACCGCCTCTCCATTGACCTGGGTGATGAGGTCTCCCTCCCTCAGCCCTGCATCGTGGGCCGGACCCCCCTCCTCCACATGCTGAACAGAGAGAGATGGTCAGAGGACGAATGGGAAGAAGGCAGGGAAAGACCTATGGGCTTAGCTTGTTGTTTACTGCCATCTTCTGTCAACAACAAGAATCCCCACATCCTGACACACACTGACTAAAGCAAATCTGGATCATCTTTACAACAATACACTTATATATTAGTATTAGTATTATTATATATATATTAGTTACTGTTTATCTTCTACACTTTCCCTTTTATTTTTAAAGGTCATTTTACAGTATATGCTAATTTGAATACATAATTTTTGGTTGAATCCATATTTGTTGTCGCCATTTTTGTCTCCTTGTGGGACTCACCCAGACCATGTGGTGCACGGTGTAGATGTCGGAGTCTCCCATGTACACCCGGATGGCCCTCAGGGTGAAGCCGTACTTCTTGCCCACTTTTTGGATCACGATGGCCGGCTTGGGGTTGATCACGGCCGGGGACAGGTCCCGGCTCGGGGAAGAATCACGTGACGAGGGGTTGGATGACAGCGAGTGGGGCGACATTGGGCTGGCCAATGGAGAGGCTCCGTGGTGGTCTAAGAACAGACATAATGGACATTTGTTATAGTGGTAATATGGTGTTCTTAAAGTACAATCCTAGATCTTCCTTTTTCCAGTCAAGCCAGGATCACACTTCAATATTATCCCCAAATCTGTTTCTATTGTCTGTAAGGGCTGCTTTATTCTTAATATCTTTTGTGCAGAGAAATCTGAACTTTAAAGGGCTTTTTCACATTATTTGAAGTGGGGTTGTGTGAGGCCTTTATCCATAAAAAGTGATTTGACCTTGCAAAAACCTGGGGAGTCTACCTCTGCCTCAAACAGTTAGCTAGTTTGTGATATTGTTGTTTTAAAGACAAATAACAAAGCAGCAGTAGACCAGTTATTGTTTTTGTCAATGGATTCTGGTGGCTTTAAAGAAAGTGTCAAAGATACACAGTCAAATCCGGAGTGTTAATTTAACACTCTGTAGATAAGGAGGTCTCCCTTGAAAAAGAGATCGATGATCTCAATGGGATTCCCCTGGTTAAATAAAGGTTTGAAATGAAATGAAAGGACCATATGTTCACTGGCTCAGTGTTTTAGCATTAATTCAACATCGAAAAGGACCGTCTGATAGTGTTTAAAATATTCGAAATATCGTATAAAATGGAACGATATCAATATTTTTAATTTCTTTCAGGTGGCCAAAATACTGTTTGCTTTTTCTCCTGTCTTTTTCTCTGAACTTGGAGTGTGGCAACCAACATCTACCCCATTCAACCCCATTGAAAACAACCAAACTTCCCTTTAAACTTGAAAAATACATTGACTATGATCCTGGCTCTCAGCATTCAGACCCCATTTACACGGGAACGTTTGCGCTTACGCACCGTAAACTTTTCAAAAAAGTCTTCTGTTCACACGCATTCGATTCATTTAACGTGTCCGTTCACACGAGACCACCGGAAACGCTGTAGTACATATGCCAGGCCTGTAAGTGGCGCTGCTTCCGCCACAAAATACACCAAAAGCAGCGAAGAAGACCCCGGAGCATGGTTGCCATGGTTGCCCTTCTGTTTATTCTCCGCGGTGGACGGCGTGTTCTCCTGCTGTATATCTCTCCGGTAGTCCGGTAGCAGCAGATGACTAACACCCACCTCTCCGCCTCTTCCAAGGGACGAGGGGGCTGTGCAGCAGAGTTTCAGTTAACATTTTTTTTCGCCGGTCAACATTAAAGTTGAAATCTTCCGGACAAAATTTGAAAAGTGCCGGTCAGAGGTCTTCTTTGTTATTTATTGAGTAGTAAAACAAATTGATAACGACTCTATATAATAATATAAGAATAATAAACGGAGCCTCTCTTTTCCTCCCCCTCTTCTGACAGCCCAGCAGCTGATCTCTGAGCAGGAGACGTGGGGAGAGGGAGGCGGGGCTATTTCATCGTTATCAGAAAATGATCGTATAGAGGTGTACACACGGAGCCGTTGGACCCCCCAGAGCGTTCCGTTTGCAGATCTATCCACCTTGGGACCCGTTATCGTTTGCGGGGTCCGTTTCTATCGTTTTGTTACGGCCTCGTGTAAACAAAAGGGCTATACGCAAGAGAAACTATGCGGATACAACCCGTTTTCGTCCTTGTGTAAACGGGGTCTCCCCCCCTGCTCCCGGCCACACACTGACCTGCAGGGATCATCAGTGACAGCGTGGTGGCAGAGGCTGACTTGATGACCTTGTTGAGCGGTCTGGAGCTGGATGTGGGCGTGTCCCCCGACAGCAGCCGGTGGCGAGCCCTGCGCGCCGCCAGGTCGCTGATGGCTCTGGGAGTGGACGGAGAGTCGCTGTCTGTCACAGCTTTAGTGGGTCCGCCGTTACTGACGGTACGTCTGTGACCACGATCAAACACGTCGCCTGAACTACCCGCTGCAGGCCGAGAGGAGGGGAGAGAGAAGGGTCAGAATAAGGGTTGTTGGTTTTTAATGGCACATGTTGGTCTAACACAATAAAATTGGATTTGAGTAGAGTTCAGGGAATACATAATTTAACATAATCAGGGTGATTACAGATATTACAAATTAACAAAGAAGATATTCAAAATGTATTTTTCGACAAATCATACAGAAGGTTTTAGGTGGATTTGTCAAGTTAGGACAGGCAGAGAGGTTGAATATACTGTATGTATATTTCGCAGTCAGAATATAAATGGTATTGTAAAAGTAAATTAACATAAGAACCTAAAAACATGTAATTCAAAACTCTTAACAATATGTAAAAATATATATTTTTCAATTGACATTATAATACCTTTAAAAAACCTAGAGACACACTAAAAAAAACCTACTGCTCCAGTAAAGCTGCAGTTTTGATCAATGGTTATTCCTCATTCAAATTTTCATTTGAATGGAACCCAAACAATATTCCTTCCCTGTGCTAGTTCTAAACAGTGACTTTCACATTGAAAACAACATGTGTAGCCATGTCATGGTCTGCTGTTGTGTTGCACTGACGTGTGAGCGTGGCCTTGCTGAGCTGACTGGAGGCGGAGGTGGGAGACTCTTCCAGCTTCAGCTCTCGCTCCACTGGGAGCTCTGGGATGGCGAGGGGCAGCTCCTCGCTCCGGGGGCCCCTCAAAGAACTCAGACCCAACAGGCTGGGGCTCTTGCGGCTTCCAGCTGCACCGGAGAAACCAATGATACACATCCAGGATTTGAGTTACAGATCATTATATTTCTTTTTCAGAAAATATATGAATCTATTGGTGTCTACTTCAGGGTTTCTCTTATGATGTTGAATTAGGGTAATTGTGGGTTAATATATAAAGTTTAATATGCAGCCAGGAAAGGGGGGTTCTGAGAAAGAACGTAGAATTCCCACGAATAGAGTTTTAAAGGTATCAGAAAAAAATAGGATATTCTATAAGAATAAAGTTGTAAATTAACACAAAGGAAAAAGGACATACATTTACAATGAATAACACTCAGAGATTTTAAATTCAGAACAGTTGAGGGAAAACAATTTTGTGTGATAAGGCTTTGAACAATGTTGTTAGCTGACTTTTTTTCTTGTAATTTTCCCCCTTTTATCTTAGAAACTAAGAAGAGTTTCTTCCTGACAATTATTGACTTCCAAGCTATCAGAATGTACCTTGACCTCCCTCTTCCTCTGAGGAGATGGCGAAGCGAGGCATCTCGATGATGGCGGAGCAGCAGCGTCTCCGGACGGTCAGCGGGGGGCTGGAGTCGCTTTCTGTGTGGGACGACTCCGAGACAGAGAGACGCTTCCGCAGGCTGGGGAGGGAAATTAGGAGAGGATGTGAGAAACGAGAACACACATCTAAGATACTGCAAAGCAATTGAGAACACTTTTACTATGACTATAAAACATATTCATTTCTAATTCACTGGCAGGTAAGTAACAGTTCTCACATCCCAGCTTGTTTTTTGGATGAATCAATAGACAAATGTGGGAGTAGACCATCTGAAAAGTATTATTATTATTATTTCTATTAGGTGTGTTTTATGGAGGCCTCACATCTCTGGAGATCCCACCAGCCAGGATCGATCTCTGGACTTGAGTCCGCTCAGGCTGTCCATACGGTCTCCTCCCTCCTCACTGAGGCTGCGTTTGGTGGGTGGGGGGGTCCTCCTCTCCTCGTGCAGGGACAGACGCTCCATGCTGCTGTACACCTGAACACAACACGACATGTGTGTTAAGACATTTCCTGTTTTTATCATTCCCCACCATAGGCTTTTAAAGCCAGACAGAGTAAGATGTCATATTGCTTTATTTAGATAAAATATATGTTGAGACAAAATTAAGTCCCTATCCAATCTATTTTTTAAATATAACAATTTTTAAATATAAGAAAGCACTCAAAACTTCAAAATCAATTCTGAAAATATGCATCTGGATTTGGATCTGATCAAAATGTGGATTTGTTTTGGTCTAAATTTAATCAACTTTTTAAATGTATTGTTCAATTCTTAAACATTTCCTTTTAATTATTATTATTGGTTTAATTTATTTGATTGTATTAACTTACTCTTCTTTATGGCTATTATAATTTTCACAACAAAATATATAAGCCTTACATAAACAGTATTAAATACATTATGTCATGACCTTGTGCAAATTTAAAACATAAATAATATTTGTTATCATAAAACTATAATTTGCATTTGAATAAAAAAAAAAGAAGCTTGTCAATAGTATAATGGCATAACAAATATTTTTACAGATAACATACCAGCTTATTGGATGCAATATTTTCAGTTTTTGAGCCATGTTTCTCAATGGGTCGCACTCAACAGTAAATGTATTTGTTTTATTTTGAAATTCAATCGGTCTTTCAGTGGATAGTTTGAATGTATGTATCTGCACCTTGCTGAAACGAGGTGAGCAGGATGAGAACTGTCGAATCTCCACGGGTTCTTCATCATTGGTGTCGTCTTCATCCTCTGAATCTACATGGTGGTACCGGTCAGAGCGAGCTGACAGACACAAACAAGCAGGTTATTGTGTGTGGTGATAACTGTGTGAGCATGTGTCGTTCCAGAGAGGGGGAGATTTGGAAGAATCGGTGGGAGACGTACTGTCAAAGTAGCTGGTGTCGTCCTCAGACTCCAGCTGGGGGATGAACTCTGCCTTTTGCCTCAGCAGGCTGTTCCAGTCCAGCTCTGTGAAGAACTGGTGCTGCTTCACCTCAAAGGCACTTCCTGTGGAGATGAAGGAGAGGGTGGAGAACAGGGGGGGGTGAAAAGTAAAGGAACAAAGAAAGAGAAGAAACAGATGAGAACATACATCAGCTGCTTCAGTATCAGATTTGACCAGCTTTGGACCAAACACTCGCTGGAGACAGACTAACAAACACAAGCAGGTTCAAACTTCGGACAAAGTAAAACAGGTTCCTGGAAAAAAAACGTTTCAATAATGTTTACTACATTTTCAGAGATCCTGGTCAGCGTGTGTGTTACCTGTGCCCAGTCTCTCCAAAGGATTTTGTCTCAGCAGTTTGCAGATGAGGTCCTGAGCCTCGAAAGGTAGAGCTTCGTCATCCTCCGGCCAGATGATCTCGTCTAACATAAACACAGCGTAAACACAGCGTAAATACATGGACATGTAGTGTCTTTATTACTGAGGAGACTAATGAGAAACAATATAGTGGAAATATAGGTCCCAACTTTTTCCGCTCTGCTTGCATAGAAACATTTCTCAGGAGGGAACTTTGGGATTTTAGTTTTAGCAGACCATTTACATGCACACAAACCTATATAACACACTACAGGAAATGGAAAACCCCAAAAAGCATAATAAGGCCTTTTAAGTATTTCTTCTTTTCAGAAATCAAACATGCTTTTACGCTGTTGCCTATGAAACATATCTGTTCCCAACCAATATGATGTTTCTCTGTGATGTTATTTTTGCTACAGCTAGTGTGAGCAGTTTATTGCTCCTTCATGACACACATTTGGTGATGGCACCCTGGAGTTGTGTCCTACACAATGCACCTCACTAGCACGCATCCAGCAGACAGATAAAAACACACTCAAGGAGGCCCTGAGTTCTTTATCACCGCGGTGCAGCTGTATTGAGAGGCGGACTCAGATGCTCATAAAAAACGCATGCAGGGATCAATACAGATTTATGGCCATTGACTTGCCCTTTCATCAGAGGGAATTCAAAGGAGTAAAGAAAACGCAGAGGAGGAATCACAATTGATTTGATTCCCTGCATGTCAACCCTGTGCTTCTCTGCTGCAGAGAAACATTTCCAACTGTCCATTTCTGATGACTTCCTCAAGTCAGCCTGGAAGCCCCCAGGCTCCAACATGAAACATTCAGATACACTGTAAAAACAGGAACTACAGCAGAATACATCATTTTCTGCACTGTGATGTATTCTGCTCACAGGAACTTATATAAAAAACATGTAGTAGTTTAGAGGAGTCTTGTTAAAAACGTATTATATTACGACTGTGTGTTATTGTATAATTATTAATATTTTTTTCTTCTTTGTGGGTTTTTTATTTGCGCGAATGTGACCGCATGGTTGCATCAAAACTGCCAGCTCAGGAAACACTGGTTTAGATTACTAGTACTTGCTTGACCAGGGAACGAGTTGTTCTAGCTTGCAAGCTAATTGCTTACATGCAAGATTTGCCATAATTGATAATAATTAGAATGCCTTTATTCGTCACACAGCAGGGAAATGAACGGCGTTACAGCAGCAAATGTACAATACAGATATAAGGATTAAGGAGAATACTTTTATATAGCCGGTAACGTTAACGGATTATAAATACATTGTAAAGTGATAAGCATTAATTGAGCATAAATGTATTTTTGTACCAATCCAATCTGGATGCAAATTCCATTAAGTTCTCTCTGAGATTTCTCCTGCTGTAAAGTGGCCGTCTACTGTTCTTCTCTAAAACAACGCTGCCGAGTAAACCGGTTGCACAAATGACAAAAAGAAAGTGGTGGCACAGCTACTCACCACTGATGACCTGACCAAACAGCTCCTCTGGTGTGTCTCCAAAGAAGGGAGCGCAGCCCACCAGGAACTCATACAGGATGACTCCCATGGCCCACCAGTCCACCGGCTTGCCGTAGCCCTGACGCAGAATCACCTCTGGGGCGATGTACTCTGGAGTGCCACACACCTGAAGGGGCATCAGCACACAGTCAAATCAGTCTGGGAAAAGCAGGTGTGAATATTAACTAATTAGATTGACATGATTTTGCAATATTTCTGGGAAAACCTGTGGAACTGTCATAATTACTGACAGTTTTATTATGGAGGAGGGAAATTAAGAGGTGCCTATAACTTGTTGGCAAGCTAACTGCGTAAGCTCTCAGGCTAAAATAAATGTCTATGACCTTTTTTGATCATCAACTTTTACTTTCCTTTCAGCTGCAAGTTTGCCTTTTTATACAATCCTCACAAAACACACAAAAAACTGTAAGATATTTAAAAAAGCTGTCGCAAATGTCATTATTTTGCGCCACAATACGACATAAAATAAAGGTGAACAAGTGAGCTGGTACCTGTTTATCAAGGAACTCTCTGGTGTCTTTCTCTATGTGTCCTTCATACATGTTTGTAGTCAAACTCATCAAACCGATCTTTGAGAGACCGAAGTCTGTCAGCTTAATGTGTCCCATGGACGTGATGAGAAGACTGCAGGAGAGAACAAGGAAACATTATTTCCAAACGTAAAAAAAGCCGATAAAGCCTCTAAAATACCATTACTTGAACTCATAACACTAAAATAGAACTCAGCATTACTTTCTTACAGTAGGTGTGGCATCCATATTCTTTCACAAATACAACCATCTCTTAAACATATACATAAACAAAACACATGCTTTTATTTCACTAATTTGGTAAAATATTGGCATTCAGTGGCAGTTTGTTGGTGTGTGTGTTTGTGTCTTACTTGTCAGGTTTGAGGTCTCTGTGTACGATGCCATAGTTGTGAAGATACTCTAATGCGAGGACGGTCTCTGCAAAGTACATCCGAGCCATGTCCACCGGCAGGGCTCCGATACTCTTCAGCAGCGTGGCGCAGTCTCCACCTACACAGCACGCTCCGCATTAAACACCACACAAGCGCTACAAATGGCAACAGGATAAAGGTATAACTAAACTGAGCTTACCCTCCACGTACTCCATCACCATGCAGAGGTGTCTTCTGGTCTCGAAGGAGCAGAACATGGAAACCACAAAGGGGTTCTCAGCAAACGTCAGGATGTCTCGCTCCACGAAGGCCTGTTGGATCTGGTTCCTCAGGATCAGGTTCTGCTTGTTGATCTTCTTCATGGCGAAACGCTGCCGGGTCTCCTTGTGACGCACCAGAAACACAGTGCTGCCCAGGGGAAACACAGAGGTTACAGAATCAGAATGCAGTTTATTGTACGCTTTTACATACAATGAATCCTTTGAGTGGATTGTACATCAGACGGGCTCAGATTGTTATTTAAAATCCGACAACATTATGGAAAGGACCCTGAAGAGAAATAAAACACTTGACTTTTTGCTTAATGCAGTCTGTTTGTTATTGCGGTAAACCAAGTCATGCTGAGGGAATTTTTTGTAATGCAGCAATTAAATATTAATTTTAGAATATCATGCTGTCTCACCCGTAGGCTCCGTTGCTGATGAGCTTGATGTTTTCAAAGTCTTCCTCTCGGGGGGGTTTGGTCTTAGGAGGAGCTGGCGGGACGGTGGTGCTTTGACCCTGAAACACATCAGATATACAAGAGACATGTTCCTAATTAAGAAAGGGATGGAGAAGGGGAGCATCCTTGTTTATTAGTGCTTTAACTGAGGCTCATCCTCGAATATCTCCATTTTCCCTAAATAATTTAATGCATGTAAGAACATCTTTTACGAAAATATAGGAGTGTTTTAGAACTTAATGCTGACAGACATACAGTGGTGGATAGTAACAAAGTACATTTACTCAAGTACTGTACTTAAGTACAATTTGGAGGTACTGGTACTTTACTTGTGTATCTTCTACTCCACTACATTTTAGAAGCCTATATTGTACTTTTTAGTCCATTACATTTATTTAACAGCTTTTGTTACTAGTTACTTTTTAGGTTACATTATTAGCGAATACAAAATAGAAATCAATGTTTAAATACACTTTTACATAATTTAAAGGTTAAGATATCCAGCAACAGTATATAAAGTTATTCAAATTAACTTTACATACTGTATACCAGTTGTGATAAAAATACATGAATAATCACAATAGTAACCCAGTAATTCAGTATTTACGATTCTGAATTGGGACATTATGCATAAAGAGTACTTTAAGTGTTGGTATATTTCAATAAGGATACTTTAATACTTTTACTTAAAGGTGGGGTAGGTACGTTTGAGAAACCGGCTCGAGATACACTTTTTGTTATATTCCATGGAATGCTCTTAACATCCCGATAGCAATGAATATCTTAAGTGCTTTGACAATAAATCCATAAAAAATGTCATCTGTGGAAGCCGTAGTACTGTAAAAAGTACGACCAATCATTTTAGCCGGCCCGGCTGTGTATTTTCAAATTCTAGCGCACTCGAGCTGGTTTCTCCAAAATTACCTACCCTACCTTTAAGTAAGATTTGTAATGCATTGACTTTTACTTGTAACAAAGTACTTGTGTATAATGTAGTATTGCTACTTTTACATACAGTAAGTAACACATCTGAGTACTTCGTCCACCACTGCAGATATAATACCTATTAAACGTGATAATGATATGATGAAGTACTCACATCCACTGACTCATCAGTCTCTGGGGTTTCTGGGTTCCCGCTGTCATAGCTGCTCAGCTGGGCCATTTCTACAGAGAGACACACAAGGATCAGTTACCAAACTGAGACAGAAATATCATAAAAAATAATAATAAAATGTTGAGTTTGAGAGTGCGTTACCCTCCAGGGGGTCCCTGGTGAGGCCCAGCTGGCTGATGATGTAGCGGGGGATGTCCGTCTTGATGCCCTGGCCCTCTTTAGCATGGCCCTCTGCTGCCTCCAACAAGTGGTAGAACTCCTCAGGATCAAACTCCTGCAGGCAAGAGGGGAGGGAGGGGAGAAAGTAAGGGGGGACAAAGGGAAAAGTTAAAGGCAAATATTTAAGCTTGTGAAATAATTTGTTGCGTCACGTTTTAGTACCCCATTTTTAAATCTAGCTGGATTCAAGGCTTTTTATTTTGTTGTGAGAATAAGATGAGATGCTGGACAGCTGCATCATGTTGGCACGTCAGTCTCTATGCTAACTTTCTTGAAAATTACAATTCTGAATTCTGACTTTAATCTAATAATTGAAATTAGTGTCGGATCTGGTGGCCCTAATCTTAATACCAGTGGTGGTGGTCTTAGACATTATAATACTTAAAAACTAAGAATTGTATTTGAAAGAGCATCGTTAATATCCTAATACTTGTCTCCTTAAGGCTTCAAGATGTGAAAGATGGCATTGAGCATTATCAACGTTGCCAAGAATTGTCTTTTTGTTCATGAATTGTGCTAACTCTCAGTCACTGTTTAATTGCTTAATAGAATAAAAAGTTTTACTTTTTCAATTTAAAAATATAGACCCATTTTTATTGCAATGAAAATCCTCTTATCAGTTTTTATATTTATCTCACACCATTTTAGATTCTGAGCTGAGCCTCCAAGCTAGAACAACAACAAAGACCACCACCGTGCTGTTTGAGATGCATGAATATCGTCATTGCAGGCAATATCATTTCAGACTTTTCAAGGACCTGTGACGGGATAAGGACAAAGGAATGAGAGGAGGACGGACTTTTGTTCTTGCACACCCCAATTTAACTCCTATGTTTTTTGACAAAGACATATAGACCACCGGTGTTCCCCCCTCACACACACATACATCATATACAGTATACATGTAAACACACAGCCACTCCCCCTCCTCTATCTGTGTGCTTTCATTTGTAAAAACCCATCCTGTGTGGTGTCGTAGCTTCAGCAGCATGTGATTAGTCAAAATGTCAGCACCGGGCATTCCACACCTACCCTCTTCTCTTTCCTCCCCTTTTCTCTCCTCCCTCACCCTCCACTGCTCCTCCAATTACCCTTGTCTTCTACACTTGTTTGTTTTTCCCTACTCTTCACCACCTCCCTTCCTTCTCTCATTTCAGGGCTCACACAAGGTTAGATTCACCTGTTAGGCCACAGATGTGCACCATCGTAACACAAACTGATGGAGCTCTGCATGGTGGTAGGAGAAAGAGCCTCTGGTATTCATATACACAACCGTGTGTGTGTGTGTGTGTGTGTGTGTGTGTGTGTGTGTGTGTGTGTGTGTGTGTGTGTGTGTGTGTGTGTGTGTGTGTGTGTGTGTGTGTGTGTGTGTGTGTGTGTGTGTGTGTGTGTGTGTGTGTGTGTGTGTGTGTGTGTGTGTGTGTGTGTGTGTGTGTGTGTGTGTGTGTGTGTGTGTGTGCGTGCGTGCGTGTGCATCAGGCTGATTTTAAATGCTCAGTGGAAGTCCATAAATGAATTGCTGTGGTTGAATAATTTCACAGCCGGGAGCAGGAAGCTCTAAATTGTTTATTAACCATGCATGGAGTCAAGCTTTATATGAAAAAGCTATTTCCAGTTAATATTTATTTCATCGTAATCTTTCAAATGGACTAATTTACACCACAGTGCAGTCGTGTGATTAAAATGTGAGAGTACTCTATGCAGCTGGTGAGGATAACCAACCAGGGCCAGGCTGATTAAAGCAAAGACAATTTCTCCACTTAATCAAAATGACACAAGATAAAGATTAACATGTATGTCTAATGTACAATAAGGCTTACTTGTGTGTGTAATTGTGCTGTAAATATCCTCTTTTAGTTGATTGTATCCCAAGATGTTGCGCTTATTGTTGCTTTATTGATGGTTTAATCTTGCTTTTCTGCCTTTTGTATTAATCTATACATGTATGTTCATTATAATTAGATAAAATCATTATGTAAAAATATTCTCTTGCCTGATAAAGCCTATAGTTAGGGCTGGTTTCAAGCTTCCTTCCTCCTGGGTCCTAGATTTTATGCTATTATATTTTACATTTTTTCTTGTTATTTTATTATATTTTTGTAATTTTCATTCATGTTTGTTGATCTGTAAAGCATGCTGAGACAAATATGTATTGTGACATTGGGATATATGAATATGATTGATTTGGTGCAAGTCCTACTGTATACAAATTCAGGTATTAGCTGTATTAGTAGTATTACAAAAATAAATGTAAGTATTACATAGGAACAACTACTCTTGATATATATCTTGACTATCTTCTATCTATCTTATTGGATATTTGGTGCTGGTGTATCATTGTGTAAGCCGCAGTTGGCCAATGTGGAGCTAACTTTTACTACAGTTGGTAGTTTATTCTGGAAAATCACATTTACAAGCTGATGAACTGCTTTTTGTGTTACCAGCTCCAGCTGTCAGATCAATAGTGCAGTCAAATGTAAAAGGTTTTCCTCTGAAATGTAGCAAACATATATTTATGAAGTAGAAGAACATCAATTAAGAGTATTAGAATCAATGAGGCATTAGAGGGATATCCTCTTACTTATTCCAGGCTTTATCAAAACCTGGCAGCTAAAATACCCACAATGCAAGTGACACTTTAGTCAGAGATTTGCATGCTAACGAAGTCTGGAGCCTGTAGTCTGTAGCAGTGGTGAGAAGCATGCTACAAAGTAAATGACAGACGTTGTGTGTGTTTTAATAATATGACCAGTCAGTGAATATGTGACATTCAACAACGACGTGTTCCTCTCACCAGGCACTCCAGCAGACGCGCAGGTCGGGCGATGATGATCATCAGCTTCCTGACCAGTTGCGTGACAAAGGTAACCTCCACACTCTCTGAGCGCTCGTGAGCCTGGACACACAAAGACAACAACACAACAGTAGTTAACATGAGAGAAACAGTTCACCTTCTTTTCACTCTTTATTCTCACATTTTTGTTTTCTTTTGAGAGATTTCACTTGTAATGAAAGCCCTTAAATAGCTTTTTTTAATGGAAGCTTCGACATACAAATATTTATTCATTATTTTTAATCATATTTTAATAATTTATCACCACGAAAGCATGTTTGACCTTGAATCTGTGCAGAAAATGTGTCTTGTGTAGTGAAGGACAAACAGTTTGAGGACAAATGGTCATTGGAGTCCTTCCATCGGTGACACCTGAGAGGTAATCTAAATCAGAACGACCTCCGCCTCGCTTCCTGATATCCACCGTGAAATGTCTGTCAGTGTGTGGACAGAGCAATTTACCCCGCAATCCACTGGAAGCGCATCTGGAGCAAACGCTGATCCGCGGGAAGAAATGGGCTGGAAGTAAAGTGTGTGTACGTGTTGGTGCGCAGAGTGGAAGCTGTAACAATTACAAACCACCCACTGTAAAACATGTTTCAATATCAGGGGGGAAATGTGGGTGTGTGTGAAGGCAGCATGTATGTATGTATCTATAATGTATGTACTGTATGTGTGTAGCAGACAGGCTAACAGAGTGGAGGCAGGGTTCATAAACAAAGCATGGGCAGCTCGTGGCTGTTTGTCTAACAGAGCCATGCTGACAGACGCCCAGACCCCCTCTTGAATTATTCATATCTGTAATGAAAACTGAAGGGGAGGGGGGGTCTATATACTGTATGTGCACGCTAAATATGTATTAGGGTGAATATATGTAAGCGTGAAGGAGACAGAGTGTGTGTGTGTGTGTGTGTGTGTGAGGTGAGTGTACAGGCCAGTGATCGGTGGGTAATGGACAGCTGAGAAATGGACCCCCACAGCGCAGCGGCTAATTAACCAGTCATAGTGTGTGTGTGTGTGTGTGTGTGTGTGTGTGTGTGTGTGTGTGTGTGTGTGTGTGTGTGTGTGTGTGTGTGTGTGTGTGTGTGTCAGACTGTGTATTCAGTCTGCATGTCTAATGTGGGAGAGATTCCCTGGTGGGTTTAACCTATAGAAAATGTGCTTCCACAGCTCATTTGCATGTGTACTGTTTGATATAATCTGTAGATTTCACTTTATTACAAATATATTGTGTCGGCGCACATGGAATATATTATTATTCAGGATCCCTAATTTATTACTTATCATTGTTCATTTTAGTGTTTTATTGTTCCCGACTTTTAAGGCAATGTTTTCCATTATATTGGTTTTATTTGTTTGTCAACTTTGAGATCATCGGTCTGCGATTTGCGATGTGGTTTATATTTGTTATTGGTGATTTTTTTACATAAAAATACGGAAGCACTTTTTTCCCCCCATGTCATCTCCCACTTGGTAATCTAATAATTGGTCTTCAAAAATGTCCCCAATATTGATAATTAGGACACATTGTCTGATAAAGTGATAAACAAAAGTATAAAAATACAATTATAGCATTGTGAAAGATTTTTAAAACATTTATACTTAAAGGTTATATGGTTTCTATTGAATTCACGTTTGCACCTGATAAAACATTTTAAAATGTGAATATAATTGATACGTTTTAGCCAATAAATGTAAGGTTTTTTTCGTCTTTAATTGTGTGACAGTTTATTTAAAACAAATATTTGTGGAATAAATTGGTTAGGTCCAAACCACAGAGAATTCTAAATATATTCATGCTTATGGTTTCAACCAAACATTTTATATGGAAAAAAACCTGTTAAGGTCAAGAGTGAACCTACTTTTACACAGAAAACATGCACAACATTCACGAAGATCGAGCATTGTGTGCCATTGTTCTACAGGCTACTCTCATCCCCGAGGTGACGTCACCTATTGTGGAGCACACCCAGGAGCACTCATCACTTTCTCCAAGCAGGTGATGTTTCCACCTGAGTCCATCTAAGAGCCAATTAAAGCCAGATGTTTTCAGCTGTGTGTGATAAACATGCTGAGAGTTCAGAGTGAACCATCAACATATCGCAGTGACAGATCACCAGAGCTGAGTTTGCAATCTGCCTCTCCCTTGCCCTCGGGTGACCCACAGGGGTCTAACAGGGTCTCCCTGGGGTTCCAGCAAGGGATGGCCTGGATGCAGGTTGCCATAGTGACCGCCAGGCAGGTCACTACGGCCCCCCTGTGACAGGGATGGATGAGGGTAGATGAAAAGAAGACGTGCTGTGGTGAGAAGAGAGGGACGGAGGATATGGGGTGAAGGTGAGAGGAGAGATTAAAGATGAGAGCAGGAGCAGAGGAGGACAGAAGGAGGAGAGGTGAGGAGGCCTCCTGCGAGCTCTGTAATGGGGTCATGACATGAGGAGAGGAAAAAGAAATGGATGAATAAAGAAAAAGGATAAGGAAGAAGGACAAAGGCAAAGGACAGAGGCATGTCAAGAGCAGAAGTAGTGGACAGATCAAAACGGACATTTCTTACAACTAAAACACCTGATAAGTGATCTTGGACAATGATGTGTGAGTCCTGTTCGTTTAGCATTGTCACAACAGGAACACTTCAGGGTTACAAACAAAGAGAGCCTAAGAAACATGGTTACAATTGATGTTCTTCCCAGTCAAAGGTAAAAGGGTCAGTCCACCCAAATCATTGACACCGTTTCTAGAAAGACAAGTGGAAATCTTGTCACCTCCATAAAATAAATTCAATTCACTTCCATTAACTGACTGCTAATTCAGAACCATAGGGAATTAAGCCAAGGTTATCCATATGTGACAGTATATGGTTTGAATGTGTCAAGAGACTCTTTTGTTCACTGTTTATACAGCAATGTGTGTGTTTGTTAAAAGATCTGTGTCTGCATCTACAGGATTATTAGATTGAGGGTTATTATTTAAATGAATGGTTGGTTAATGTAATGTTCAGATAACATATCTATTTGATCTTATATACTATGATATATATAGTATACAGTTCAAATGTAAAATAGATGTCCATATTATAACCCTTGAAGGAAACCAAGAGTGTCTTCATTGTCACTTGGTGAACTGCCCCTTTAAGCAACACCAGCATAAAAGACTTTAGATCACTGTCCAGATATGGAAGGGTTGATCTGATGACTAAACCATCTGGATGACCAACAGATGTCACATCCAAGCAGTGAAGGCACCATTCATAAATCCTAATGACAGTTGTAAATCATCTAAAGGCACTGAATGTAGTCAAGTACACGTTTTTTTCAGTATATTCTAAAAGGCCTTTTGCCCATTTACTTCTTCATTATTAACTGATCCAAAAGTATACATCACACTGTCAGATCCACCAGTAGAAAATCGCCTGATGACTCATTAAGAAGTCTGAATTATTAACCAGCTACAGACAAAAAAACACCCACAGCAGTTGACTGATTACAAAAAGATTTAATAATTAATGTATTCGTCATCGACCTCTGAAACACACTTAATTATCTTTTGGAATATTTCAAATGCGGTAACAAGCTGAAAGAAGCTAATTTAGTTTCAACAAAAAAATTATACAAAATATCCGACACAAAGTTATAACCGACTGAAAACTAAAACGTGAACTATCAACATCAAACTCCAGAGGCATCAAATAAAGCCACCAAAAGCAGAACCAAAGCTGAGCAGAGAGTGATTTCAAAGTTTGCGTGAGTTGGTATGCTCTAACTTTTTATTAAACAGCATTCAAACTGAGAAGTTACAAGGCTTCAACGTAAACAAGACCGGAGTGCCAATAAAGCTTGATAGAATCAAACCGAGATGGACTCAACTGTAAAGTCTGCGTCTGCATCATCTTCTTCCTCCTCCTCCTCCTCCTCCTCCCAGCTGTGAGTGACCACCTTCCACTTGCTCCTCCTCAACACATCCTCCAGCACCAACTCCTCCTCCTCCAGTCTCCTCTGACACGAGATGCAAGACATGCTTCTGCCGAAAAGCCACAATAAAACGAGGAATTCCCATAGACGACGCAGGCACAGAGGCTGCTTTCAAACCTCCGTCCACCTGCTTACAGCTCCATACTGTCCTCTGTCCAAAACAAAAAGCACAAGGCCGCCTAATTGATGATGTCATCATCCACCCCGCATTGCAGCTTCAGCGTCTTCTCCAGATGTGCTCGAGTCCAGTTCCTCACACCCTCCAAAAGCATTCGAACAGGCTTCCACATCCACCTCCCTGCAAGCCCACGGCCAATCAGAAACAGCGGAATCCCCTTGAAACCCCGCCCATCCCCAAAAGATCCCTCCGACTGCACCTCCCTTACCCCTCCTGTTCGTCTGAGAGAGTCATCTGTCAGCCCTCGGTGACTGCTGGAGTGTGAAATTAAAATCGGGTAGGATCTGTGCGTGTGTGTGTGCGTGTTCGCCTGCATACATATATGTGTGTGTGTGTGTCTCTAGGATGGAGGGATAGTTTGTGTGTGTGTGTGTGTGTCCCAGTAGAACAGAAGGTCAATAAGAGGCCGGTGGGAGTCATAATGTCGCCCCCCCCCAGGCACTGGAACACTGAGCTAATAGAGATGTCACCACGGACACACACATGTAAATAAATGTCTGCGTTCACACACAAAGAAACACAAAAACTGTCTGTAAAAACGTGTCAAGCTGTAATTAGCAACACAGAGGTATAATAAACAAAACGTGTGTGAGTGTGTGTAGGAATGTGATATAGCTGAGGGAGTTTTATGTGTTTGCAGCTGCGCGGCCGTCTCTGTCCAGTCGTATGACATCACACGGCGCTGACAGTTGTAACTATGATGGGTGAACGAAGAAGCGCGTCACACCGTGAGTTGTTCCACGATTAACTGAGTGTGACCGGGAGGCGGCCATAGTCATGATGTCTTCATCCCGGACGGACTTTTCACACAGCGGCATTTGGACTTTTTATTATAGGGGTCGGTATAGTAATATTCTAGGGAGTTTGCCACTGAATAGATTGGTTCGAGGCAGTTATCACGGTCAGTTATTTGTATTGAGTTTTAAAGCAGATGTTTCATTTGAACCCAAGTCATTATTGATTTATTAGTGAAAGCTATTCTTCATATTGTCTGTTTGTACTTTAGGTTCAGCTGCACTGAATAAACGTGGTTATATCAGCAGTTCATTGGAATTAATTAATTGGAAGTCTACCAATTTGCATAATCCTTTCCAGGTACCTGCCCGTCAATTACCGTTTCTTTCTAGGAAATAATTAGAGAACTGCAGGGGCTGTTAAATATCATAAAACAAATTCTACTTTAAAATGAATGCTTTATGCACCATGAAAAGCATCTGCAGCAAGGACACAATGCTCTGCCTATGATAGATTTGGAAATTCGTCATCCAACATCTTCATCTGTTAGTGATGACGCCAAGATGATGCCGAGTCGTTAATATCTCAAATGTCAATGTTCTGCTATGAGAAAGGATTTATTGAGTGATTGTTGCAGATGGAACATGGGATGAGAGAATTAGGGAGTGATTTTGTAAACAGCCAAACAGTTTTGTTATTGAAGCACAGTATTAAGCACTGCATTCATAGCATTGGCTTTCTGACATACTTTAATAACCCAAAGCCAGCTTTATTGGTAATGGTTCAACTTAAAGTCAAATCAATTATAGCTGCAGATGTTTTCATTACATTTGTTCCACTTCCTCTTACTGAGTTTGTCTTTTAAATGTTGTTTTAATGCCTTTTACTGTATGGCTCAGGTAAAGCACTTCTTATTGCCTTTGTGTTGCAATGGTGTTTCATAAATAAGCTTACCTTGACATGTAGCTATTACAAATAAATAAATAAACTACATATATTATATATCAAATAAATGTGTTCTCTCCTCGAGTAATCAATTTGATATAAAACATTTATCTTAATTTTCTCGAAGACATTTATTTTCTTTTTTTATGCGAAGGATATTAAACTTTTTGGATCTAGAAATCCAGTAGGAAATGCAATCAAGTTTCAAGTGAGTTTACGGTAATTGTTAAAATAGGATACGGTTTCTTTATCCATTAACGTCACCTTTGAAATACTCGTTGCCTTCTTAAAACACAGGTATCTGAGTGCAGGGCAGTGAATGTTTCTGGACTTACGTCTTGCAGCAGCTTCTCCAGGTTTTCCTGTAGCTCGTAGAAGTACCGGGAGGTGATGAGGCCCTCTCTGCTTTTCTCCAGGCAGTCTCTGGACAGCTCTATCAGCTGATGGTGGATGAAGCTCAGGACCCCGTCGGCCAGCGGGCAGACCTTATCGGGGGTCGAGGAGAAGAGCAGCTCAGCCAGACGCTCCTCCATTTGAGCCGTCGCCTGAGGGGAGGGGGGCGGGAAAATTAAAGGGGGGGGACAAGGATGAGTCACAGTAGAGATACGCGCAATCCAGACATATGGAGAGACTACGGTGACAAAAAACGTCATGTGCACAGGTTAATAAAGAAAATCTCTTCTAACTAAATATTTGAAACTGTCCTTTTTAAACAGAAAAAATAAATATATATATACCTAAAAGCTAGACTTTTTTTTAAATTGAGACCTTTAAAAGTACAAGTGATCAGTTATAGAACAATACTGTAATGTTTATTTTCTTCATGAAAAATACTTAATTGTGTACTGGAAGTGTGTCTCCTTGTACAAACCTTGGGAAACCTCTCCTTGTACACATGGTTCATCATCACGATCTCATGGTCGAAGGAGATAGGTGAACGCCCGGGGCTGGAAACATACACAATAACACAGGTGAGTGGAGTCAATCAAGTTGTAATACCGCAAATCTGTTATTTTATCATTTAAAAAATAAAATGAAAGAAGCTCATCATGAGAAACGATCACCACATCATCAAAGCTGAACTTTCACAATTATATTTGATCCCAGTTTCGCCAATAGGCCTGTGTAGAAAGGTGTTTTATACTATATATTGAATTGTGCCTGGGGGGAGAAACTCAGCCAGAGAACAACTCTTAAGCTCTATGGGTTCAGAAATCTGAAGAACTGTTTTAGTGTTAACTTTTATGTAATGAAAGGGGTGCCATCTTGGAAAATCTTATACCTACAGTACACTCCTAGCGTCACAATTTATATTTAAATTGACAAATGACTAAAGAAAAAAACATAATTCTTCTTCTTCTACAGTACTTTGTGCATAACTATTATTTTTTACTGACTTTTTGGAGAAATTCCTAATATTTTTACTTTCTGAGTTCCCTACGAATGTTGTATATAAAACAATCTTGAAAAAAATGCTCACAGCTATAGACTGTATAAAATACAAGCGGCCAACACCACGGCCTGTCAATCAGGATAGAGGCATAGCAATGCATGTCCCTCCCATGCTCTACCCTCATGTCTAAATATTGTAGTCTTGTGGTGGCAGAAAACAAAGATGGCGCCGGCCAAAATCTAAAGTTGACAACAGCTATCTATGCATATTGTAGCATTTAGCAGCAGTTACTGTTACCTTTGTTACACAGCAAGTACATGTCTTTAAATTAAGGTAGCAGAGACCTCACAGTGGTGATGCTATGGGTCTATTACATTTCACTTATGGAAACGGCCTTGGCGGAGGTCTGCACTTTCTCTTCTATGGTAATTACACTTGAAATAATAAGCCCTAGTTCTTCTGAAGGATAACTCTTCTCCTACAGGAGGTAGTGCTACTTGTCCTTGAGCTGAAGAAACACAGCTGACCAGAATACATGAGACACTCAGGATTGTCAGGTCACCCGGGCACAGTGGGAATAAAAGCTGGATGGTGGACCCACGCGCTAACGGGACCTCGGGGTCTTCATCATATGTGTGCCTTCAGCGGTGTAAACCAGAGGACCATGGCAACCTCTGGACTCACATGGCTGCACACACACAGAACGGCACAAAGGTAAGGCCTCGGGAGACCGCTGGACCCCGGATAGCATACAGTATGTGTGTGGATGCGTGTGTGTGTGTAGCTGTCAGTAATAAACCGAGGCTGTCCACAACTCAACTGCAGTGAGGGTCTGCCAGTTCTCAGGGGGGTTTCATGACCGGACAGACTGACAGTGATGTCTCCTTCAGTCTATACCCGCTACAACAGAATATCAATCCATCAGTTTTTTACACAGTGGACTTCATCTCCTCTCTATTTCCCTCCTCCTGGGACTCATCTTTTTCCGAATTCCCCCCCCCCCGTCCACCTCCAACCTTTCTCTACAATAGGACAAAATAGCGACACCAGCAATATCCTTGACCTTTCTATGTCTCACTTTCAGGAGAAAAGGGGATGACGACAGGTGACAGGAAGTGTGTGTGTATGTGTGTGTCATGGGAGAGAAATTTAATTCCAGACAATTTCAAGCTTTGTTAGCCTGCTGTATTATTCATTCCATCCATTTATGACTGTAAATATTTATTTCTAAATATTGCAGTTGCAATTTCAACGTTTGGTACGCATACAAATAATCTTCATGTTAATAAATCATTGTGTGCCAAATTCTAGTCTCCATTTATTTTAAAATCTTCCAAGGTCAAATTGTTTATAAGAGAAAAAAAAAACAATGTTTTTGTGTTATAAAATTATTTCTCGTTCTGTCAGTTTTAACAAGATACAGACATTGGTAGTAAGGAAATTACAAAAAAAGAAACCATAATGAGAGCTAATGGGATTATCTCACCACAAATTGCATTTATTTGTCTTGTTTGAAGGACACAAACAACCCTTTCACGTTCATTCATTGTATATTTTCATTCACATTTTTCCCCTGGTGTAAGACTCAAACCATTTTATGTAAAACAAATTGTTTGAGTTATTTTCTGAATTTGAAAAATATAAATTCAATATGAAAGCAGTATTAATAAAAATAAAAATTAAATAAAAATAAAAATAAAATAAATAAAGCCATAAAAATACCAAAGGTATTTTACAGGCATTCCTAAAGAGTCACACAAATTGAGATTAAGAGGTGCTGGTAAAAGTAGAATGTTTTGTCTCCAGATGTCTTTACTAGTATGAGTCATCGGTACACACAACCACACAAACATACAAGCATGCACACACACACACACACACGTGACCGGTACGATGAGGTAATGCTTTGAGTCATCCATCGGCAGCTCGCAGTCCAATTACCAGCTTAATAGGAATGAGAGAAGCCTGAAAGTGACATACGAGGCAAACCTCATGGAGGCAGTTTATCATCACGCCTACACATGACAAGTTACCACACACACAGGTATACAGTACGTAGCTCACATTATTCTTTTGTTTTCACCTGCATTGGTGGGATCTTGATTTTTTTTATACTGTATACTTCTGGATAAAAGTCCTTTGATGGCATCTTGACATAAGATAAGATAAGATGGACCTTTATTAATCCCTGTGGGGAAATTCAGTTGTTTAAACAGCAACAGGGTGAGAGTGAAAAACAAGATAGCACAGATTCACACGGATTAATAAAATCAAAAATAAGATCAGCGATAAAAATAAAAATAATAATAACAATAGTTTTGGTTTATTTTGTCCAGGTTTTGAATGATGTGCTTTTAAACACAATAATTAAAAGGTAGTTAATAGAATTTAGTTTGTGGTGATAACAGCATTGATAATTACCGTTAAATTATTAAAGAGTCACAACTATCTTCTACCTCAACGCATTTTGAGTTTAATCTGTGTGTGTTTCTAATTGGGGAGAATAAAGTTTAAGTTGTAAAAAATATTGAAGTAAAACTTGAAAATTAAAGTGGTTTTAATTATGAGTTTCTGCCTTGACAATTAAACGGAACAATTGCAGAAGCTCAAGAGACACATTCCCTATGGTTTTTTGGTAATTAGAAAGGAAGTATTGAGTTTTAATTGTCAGTAGCTAATCCTACATCGATCAAAGCACAGCCCTAAAATCCGGTGGCCGACAGGTGCAAACGCGCTACAACAACCCAAAACACTTCTATTCGGAGAAACACGCTGCAGTTTCAACATTGATGCAAATACATTTTTTTTTAACAAATGTGTCAAAACACATGCAAATACAGAAAAATCCTTATCAAGTTGATGAAACATGCGCAGCGTTTATGACTGTAAAAGCGATGGAATGGTGTTTGCTCCTGTCGGTCACCATACTAGAAGCTTTCGAAATGAAAACAATATTTCCTGTTAAAAGAAGAAACTAAGAACGTCACTCGAAAGGTAAAAGAGAAAGTAGCTTTTTAATCATTTTTGTTAACTGACCTTTTCAACTAAGCACAGCTCAACTATGCGTGCCCACACACACTCAACCTTTTGCTGATGGACGTCCATCACTGGGAGCTCTGAGGCCCTCAACTTTCAAACTCTCCTTTCATGTTCGTGTTACTTGAAAAATAAAAATCGATCAAAACCCCTGGCAGCGTGCTCTGACACCGGGCTGGGTAATTAAAGGTTAGCCTTGACAGAGATGGATTCAGTGCCAGAGGCTGTTATGTACATTCTTTAATTTCCACAGAATATCTTCTCCTCCTCTCCGTGTTATTCTCCTCGTCTGCTCGTGGCTGTGAGCCTGTTTTATTAAAATAAAGCTCCTGCACAGAGCCAGCTGCAGCGGAGGTCGGAGTGAATCCCCAGGATGAATAACACGAGAAACCCAGACAAAGGCTAATTAGAAAACGGCTATATTTCTACTGTAATGGGAAATAAAAATTGCCCCGCGGCAATCCCTGGAAAAAATGTCTTCGTCATTATTTTGAGAAACGACCTTGGAAACGAGGCTTGGGAGGAAGTTGTGAAGAGTACTTTTGTTTTAGTGTGGGGCAACAAGTTCAAAAGTGTGAGAAAAAACGGAAATATTAACGAAATAGAATAAAAGATTAAATCGCAACCCCAGGGTGTTTTATAAAATTGGATAATTAAAACATTGTTGGAAAGGCGTCTTCCTTTTCTTCCCCTAGCTAAGTGGTGATGTCACCTGTGACAAAAGGCATTCAAAATGCAAAAGAGCTTGTTGGTAGGGAGGCTAATTGAAGAAAATCAATCGAGACAGCCAATAAGATGGTGACGGTGAGGCGGGTGGGAGGAAGAGGTGAGGAGGGGGGAGAGGCTGCTGTGTGTGTGTGTGTGAGAGAAAAATAACATTGATGCTTCACAACTGAGGCGGGCGACTTGGGAAATGAGAGGCCTAATTGAGCGTGACAGAGAGCCGGCTAGAATGGGGATGAGGTGTGTGTGTGTGTATGTGTATGTGTATGTGTATGTGTGTATGTGTATGTGTATGTGTGTGTGTGTGTGTGTGTGTGTGTGTGTGTGTGTGTGTGTGTGTGTGTGTGTGTGTGTGTGTGTGTGTGTGTGTGTGTGTGTGTGTGTGTGTGTGTGTATGAGTACTGTGATTGCATGTGTACACCATAGAAATCTTTAAAGACATCTCTGTAACATCTCCTAAAACCACAAAGCGGTGGGCCAAATTTGGTGGAATATGCTTTAATGTTCAAAAAGCTCTTTATTTTTCTCATACTGCCTGCAGCACTTCTTTTCACCCTCTGTCTGAAACCAGAGCCCACTTTGCTCTGATTGGTTAGCTTGCCAGCTCTGTTATGATTTGTCAACCGCTTAGAGATCCCCCTAAACCCCATGTACAATGTGTTGGAGCGCTAGCCAATAGAAATGTGAGTGTTACATAGTAGGGAACTCTGGGATTTTAGCCTTTGCAGACCATTCACATGCAGAAAAACCTATATAACACACATCGGGAAAGGTAAAACCCCCCAAAACATAATAGGGCCTCTTTAATATAACACAGAAACCAGAATTACCGCTTCGGGTTTGTTTTGTCTAAGATTACTGATATGTATGATAGAATAGGGAATGTGGTTTTCCAGACAGGAAGTCAATGGGGTGCTTCAGCCTGTAACAGTTCATGGCGCATGAATGATGGATGCATGTGGATCTAAAGAGTATGGTGGATGGTGGACAGACGGAGAGATAAGGGAGTGATAAGAGGTGATAGATACACTGTAGAAACTTAACTCGACGAGAATGAGATGGGGAGAATACAAATTAGGGAGAAAGTGTAAAATGATAAAAAAGGGTGACTGCCATCACTCACGGCGGAGTCGTAAAATTAGCATATAATTGTGCTCTGCAGCTCATTTTCATTTGTTCCCTCTCTCTTATACAGAGACACACTTGTTCCTCCCCCTGGGTCCAATCATCATCTCCTCTCCTCTTAGTCACTCACGTCATCCTCTTCACTACATTTTCCTCACACTAGTATCCTCATTAGGGGATTCTATCAACTCGGAACTGGATCCAAAAGTGAGCTGGTTAATAGAACCCGAGCCCTAATCCTCAGTCTGCCCCTCTGTTGGTTATTTATCTGCACTTGCAGACCGTTTGCAGACAGCTCACTAAGAGCTTTTTAATGACACTCACTGCTGGAGGACTAATATGATGTCAGGCTTTCCGCTGAGGCTCATCCACCGTGCACATGAGGGCCCGCAGCCGAAACACTTTCAAAGTCACCTCCAAGTTTATAAACTTCCCCGTAGTAATTAAAGCATTGTTTTGTCAGCTTTCATTGTATATCTGACAAAAGCTTAAATATGCTTTAATGTTCAAAAAGCTCTTTATTTTTCTCATACTGCCTGTGTTGCAGCATCTCTTTTCACCCTCTGTCTGAAACCAGAGCCCAGTCTGCTCTGATTGGTTATCTGGCTGGCTCTGTTGTGATTGGTGAGGCACTTATAGAAGTCCTGTCTCTTAACCTATCATGTACTATGTGTTGTAGCGCTAGCAAATAGAAGCACAAGAGTAACATAGTGATGTCACTATGTTATGGAAGTAAACAAAGGAGTCCAATAGAGGCTTCTCAGGCAGGGGGGGGAGTGTGCGGGGGAGAAACACAGTACAGGAGAGCGAAGAACCGAAAAAGCATAATAGGTCCCTTTTAAGTTTCCTGTTCTCTAATTTCTCTCAACATCTCATTTTATGGTTTTCTAATTGTGTTCTATTGCCCAGGGAAGTTATTTAAGGATACAGGGTGAGGCTGGATTACGTGAGATGGCACTTATTTAAACACACACACTCACATACTGAGAGCCTGGTATCAATCTTCAAACACAATGGGACTCTAATCAGATACACACCATGCGACTCAGTCTCGCCTTCTTTCATCTCGGAGGATGAAATAATCCAATATCTCGCGGTAAATAAATACAGATAAAGATGGGGGGGGGGAAGCTGCAGAGCAAGAGATGGAGGTGAGACACCATGTGTGGGTGAGGAGAGAAAACAAAGATGAGAATAAAGAAAAGTGTAAGGAAGGAAGGGTGATAGGTGGTGAAAGGAGAGGGTGAAGTGAGTTCAATCTACACACAGACGGAGAACCGTAGAGAACATGAAGACATTTGAGCTGGAGACGGACAGAGAGAACAAACTGAAGGACAGACAGATCCACAGGTGAGTGTCAGTGATATAGACAGTGGACTTTCTCCTCGCTCACACATCAGAGGGGCGAGTATGACCTTTCTGGAAACTGACACACACACAAACACGCACAAAACTAAGGGCATCGAGGCCTTTGTGTAAGGCAACTCAACTGGTCAGTTATTTGTTCATATTCAGCCTTCAAACACTAAAGTTGGTTAAGCACGAGTCCAGTTATCTTTCATGTTCGGTGTTAATGTCAATGTCTTGGCAATCATTTGTATCATTTGGATAAGTGAATAACTCATGTGGCACATTTAAAAAGAATATACAAGCCAGGTTTTGTATGGCAGCAGCTATATACTTATAGGCCACTTTATCATGTCAACCTGTTAAATGTAATGCAGACCAATATTACTGTTCTGCCATACATTCTGCCATTGATGTTCAATTTGGATTGACCTTGGCAGAGATATTGATTGATTTTTACATACATATGTTTGTTATTGAGGCTGTAGTGTGTAGTGGTGTTGAAGTGGAGTGCATTATAATATGAGATGTTTCTCATGTTTTCTCAAGCACATTTAGAAACATGAAGAGGAAAGAATATTACAAACTAATTTAAAAGATTATGCTTGCAATGAACTGGAGATGTTAAAGACCTGAGTTGCAAGATTAGGCTAGTCCACTGAGTGCTCTAAATAAATACAATAATAAGGTTATTTCTATAATGTGCTGGAAGCCTCTGAAGACAGGCCAGCTCAGGAAGGATTTGGTTTGGTAGTCAATATGAAATGAAGAGGGTGATAACTTTCTACTTTGGATGTCTTTTGCACTTTGAGCAAACGGGATCCAACCCCTGTCTTGACTTGCAGTTCAAGGTTTAACTCATGCATAAAGTAATCACAGAGTCAAGCACTTCCAAACAAAACTCATAAGACCAGCATCTAACACTGGGCTTCTGTACATTGTATTTTCTGTCTCTTCAATATTGCAATTCAGCAAAACAACAAACTTGTATGCTGCAAGATGTGAATCAGAACGTTTAGCCGTGGCCTCCTAGCCACCTTATGAATGCTGGTCAAGCACAGGAGCAAATTCAGTGCAGGACTCATTCTTCAGAGAAATCTTTCCTGCCAGTGGCCATTCAACTTTTCAACTCCTCCCTCAAATATCAAACGCACTGAGGCAACAGACCGACCCCCTGGACTTATTTCACCCCTGTTAGCAGCTATAACCACTACATGTATTTATAGCTCAACTCTGCAATACTGTCTAACCATAGAATAACTTGTGCAATAACTTAACTGTGGAATAAATACTCTGCTTAAACCTGGCCTTAATGATATTCATAATGCATGACACAGTTAATCAAGTAAAATCATCACTTATGCTACTCCTGCCCTTCAAAAATTAATCGTATGTTACATTTCTTTATTTAATTGTTTTTTTGAAAGCTCTTTATTTTTCTCATACTGCCTGTGCTGCAGCACCTCTTTTCACCCTCTGTCTGAAACCAGAGCCCAGTCTGCTCTGATTGGTTAGCTGGCCGGCTCTGTTATTATATGAATAGTTTAATGTTGTTATATATTTCCTCTCACTGATTACATGTTTTTATTCTACAATGGAGCAACAGTAAGGTACCCTTAAACCCCCGCAGGGATCAATGAAGCACTTTTGATTCTTATTATAAGAGAATCTTAATGGCCATTTCACATTTGTTTCCACTTTCAGCTGTGGTGACCTCTGCCTGCTGCAGTCAGGACTTTGCTCAGTGTTTGTGGTTAGATTGTAAACTGGTAACGCAGCTCCTACCTGAGGCTGCGGGAGCGCGGTCTCATGTTTGGGGAGCGGCGCCCCTCCTCGTCCGTGATGCTCTCGGAGCTGAAGTGTTTGGTGAGGAAGTGCAGCTCGTCCTGAGTGGGCTGGAAGGGCAGCTGGTGCAGCTTCTCCTGAGATGAACAGGAGGACTGTGAGAGGAGGAGCACAGAGGGAGCACAGATTACAACCAGCGCTGGAGCTACTGCGGGGGCAGGATGGAGAGGAGAGGAGAACACAGGGCAGGCAGGGAACATTCAGCCCTGGAGCTACTGCTGGGTCAGGGTCTTTGGTGTGGAGTTTCCAAAAGCGGGATGTGAGGCCTAGCTTTCAAAAAACTCAAAACACTTTTGACGTAAATATGATCTGAAGCCAAAGGAGTAATGGATGACAATTGACTTTTATTGAGTTCTCGATAAAGAATTAAGCAGAGAGAGACCTGTCTTCCTGTGTTAGTATGCTAGCCACATTAGACAATGAATGTTCAAATATTAGTCCAGATAATAAACATCTCATATTTAACTTGATTCTGAAGATTTGTGTAAAACCTGCACCCCCACATGGTGGAGACAAGGTCACTTTAATGTCATTATGTTGTACCTGCAGCCACAGAGAGAAGTGAATCTGCTGTGCCTTGTTTTAGATCACACATCCTTATGTCCTCAGATCTTAAAATAGAAAGTATGAATCTCTATTTCTGTCACTTTACTGTTTTGTGTGACTGGACTCAAATATAATCATTGATTTATAATGACGCTATAAAGAGAGCAAAATATAACAGCAGTGCCTCCAAAGCAGTCACTTAAAGTGTGCTGGTGTGTTGAGAGTTAGATGATGAAAGTCACTTTGACTATTGCTTTTATTTGGACTACATGGAGCTCATGCAATAATCGTGTTAACATTTTTAAACGTTTTTATTAAAGATCTTTGGTACATACAGCCTAATCCAACAGCATTCAAATTACTCTATTTTAAAGTGAAGTATGTCCAAGATATTCAGCCATTAGACTGGTTTATAAATAGTAGTTCAAACTACATTTGATCTCACTTTGAACCCACATGTGGAGAAGTTTTTCAACCTTCAAATCAGTCATTACTGGGCACTGAGGGATGTCCTTTTCATCTAACAAGTCATTTATTAACAAACAGTGAGCTAGCATGCCTGCTAGCAGTCTGGATCTCATGTTAAGAGCTCCAACAGCCAGATAACTCGGCTCGCTGCCTTTGAAGCACGCTGAGTCTCATTCTGCAGGCAGCAGGCGCAGAGCAGCCGCGCTCTGGGGTATTAAGAAGGGAGATGAAGGAACGGCAGAAGGTAAAGGAGAGGAAGAAGGATTAGAGCAGAGGGACGTATGATATGTCCCTGATAGTGATAGAAGGGAAAAGAGGAGAAACCGTGAAGGGAGAAGAAGTACACTTAAGGGCTTTAGAAAGGAGGAAGCAAGGAAGAGGAAGGTGGGAAACAACTGGTATCACAGAGGAGGGAGGATCTGTGGGCTCCAAAGATGGTCTACAACACAGAGACATAGAAAAGGGAAAGATATATTTACCGAGACAGTGGAGCTGGGTGTGTTGGTGCCATAGCCAGAGGAAGGCAGCGAGGCCAGAGACCAGCGTCTGCCATCCGTCCTGAGGGAGGGAAGGAGATGGACAAAGAAATGAAGACCTCACACGCTTTAAAAAAGAAAAAAAACATTTAAACACATTTCCCTTAACTTCCATATCAAGGAAATGCAGCAGCACATATGGAAAGATAAAGTGTTTCAGGTCAAGGAGGAAAAGTGCAAACACAAGGATAACATGGTCTCAAGAAGTGCAGGCAAAGCCATGAGGAGGAGACTCTGCAGACATGATGTGAAGCATGAGGGAGTTCACAATTCTGCTCCATACCCACAGCTGCTTTCAACACTTTCCAAACATCTTCAGGGTTTGATTTACTGAAATGTAGGCCGGCTGTTCTTCTGTATTTTTGTCATTCTCACAACCAAAATGTGTCACTCCATCATTTAACACTTCCTGACTTCCTGTCTGTTGCTCCAACCTAATGAAGTGCCACTGAAGACGTAGGTTCTCTAAACTGCTGCTCACTGTAGTTTTGGATAAAAGAAACAGGAGGGAGATAGAGCAGCTTTTGGGGACTATTTCCAGCAGCGGATGAATCCACATTTGGTGCTCCAGTGAGTTTTAGTGGTACACCTGGTAACGCAAAGAAAGTCACCAAGCTAACTGTTGTTTTTTGAAATAGTTTTCTGATGATAATGAATAATGGAGCTCTATGGCACAGCAGAAGCGTATGTCTCAGCGGTTGAAGAGGAGACCCTGCAGGGGACTTTCTGATGTGCTCAGCCATGCAGGACGGAGGAGGGCAGGAAGGTGGCGGCAGAAGGAGGGAGCAAAAAGGTCAGAGGTCAAAACTGAGAGGTTACCTGTCAGCCCTGTGTCCGTGACTGTGAGGGAGACAAGACAAGGTTTTCCATTTATAGCTGTTAGCAGCTGTCACTGTTAAAGCCACACACACACACACACACACACACCCACACACACACACACACACACACACACACACACACACACACACACACACACACATCACACACACACACACACACACACACACACACACACACACACACACACACACACACACACACACACACACACACACACACACGCACACAACACACACACACACACACACACACACACACACACACACACACACACACACACCACACACACAACCACACACCACACAACCACACACCACACACACACACACACACACACACCAAGTCCCATCCTTTCTGCCCACCACTAGATTAAAATTAAATATTTATATACGAAAAAAATGTATGGAATAACTCTGTTTTATTTGACACCGTTTGTCTTCCAGACCTGTCCCACATTATAAGGATAAAGTGCTAAACCAAATATAATGCTAGTAGAAAAATATAAGAACAAATATGATAAAGAGAAAACATAATTAAAAAGACATTAGAATGAATGCTGTAGTTTAAAGATTTTCTTATGTCAGGCTTTAACAGTTTAAGAGTCATTATTATTGTTGTTTATTTTGTAAGATGATATTACCATCTCATCATATGGTGGTGGCCTAATTTGTATCTCTTGCCTGTACCAAACAAAATAAAAGTGGCATGATTTAACTTAACATAAAATAGTCTGAAAACGTTTCCCCAAGAGAAACATTTTTAAAAGAGGAATTTGTAAAACCCTCCTATCGTTGACCTGCCATACCCGACCCCACCACATGGTGTCCCTGTTGCGTCTGCAGCACTGAGGTCAGCACTCGGACAGAGGGATTTTCAATTCAAATCAACGTTAATGCTCTTTTTGGCCGCTGCACTGCTGCCATATGTGATGTGTTGTCATGGAAATAGCCTGGGAGGTCTAGTACGTCAGGAAAGGTGTGTTACCATGGAAACATCATCATCTTAATGAAGATTAAAGAGGCAGGCTTGCTAAGGATTTCATTACATCTTCCCAAAGTTTTATAGGACATCTTCTTATCTTGGATTTCACACATGCTTAAACATGCATGCATCTTTCTGTCAATGAAACATGCATGAATGCTCGCACACACACATGGCACACACTCTTACTCCCTCCTTCCCTCTCAGTAATTACTATCTGTTCTGAGAGCCCAGACAGATAAGAGGTTTATTAATCTGGGTTTGAGTGACAGCCCCACAGTGATCATCTGGCTCCTCATCAGCTCACACACTATCATCATCAGCAGCAGCGCGGCTCTCAAAGCGCCGGGGCCACTGAGCCGTTTCACAGCCTTAAAAAGATATTGACAATAAAAGCTGAAGCACAGCTGGTCTGTTCTTCGATGTGTACACTCCCTGTTAAATAATGCTGCTTTATTTTCCCACAAATGGCCAATAACCGCACTGTTAAACATGTTGAACAGTGATGCTACCTGCTGCTTATGATGTATTAATGATCTTACTGATACTGGGTTTGTAAAATACAGAAAAGCTCCAGATCTTATTTTTTATAATGCTCACCTTCGTGCAGGAACAAAGGAGAAGTGTCCGGCCGTGTTCGGGGAGAAGTTGCGAGGACTGTCCAGCGGGCTTGTACCTGACAGAAAATACAAATAGAGACACATTAAAGAAAAGCCCTGCTGAAAAGACATCTTCTCTGTTTCTATTTGTGTATCTCAGCAGCTGATAAGAAACAGGAAATGAGCTGTTCTGAAAGAAATGACTGTATAATGAATAGTTTACGAGCAGTTAATGTAATGGAGCAACAATGGAGTTGTAAATATTTTGTCAACAGAGATAAAACTACATTAGGTAAAGAATATAATTGCAATATTGGTCCAACCAAAGTTAGGTGTTGGAAATCAAATGAATCCTGGTTTTAACAATTGCTTCTTTTTTGCGTACCATTGGTCATGTAGGGTAAGACTAGTGAACATCTCCTGTTCAGAAGCATTTCACCAATTTCATTTCACCTGTGTGTGAGATGTTTCTTAAAAACATTTAATACATTTTCCTTTTCAGTTGAAGGTCCTTGCAACCGCCATGAAATGAGAATTATTACAAAATATGGCAGTCACTATCGATTGGTTTTAGCAAAACTACAATTACTGCCTCCGCCAACCAATGTACACAAATATACATCTACAGTATATTTGTCCAGACTCCTTTAATATATTTAGTGAAGACTTTGAAGGTATACTTTGATCTTTTTAGTGTATTCATTTCTTTACTGAGGCCACAGGGACCTTGATCTTTACCACCATGTTCTGTTTCTACGATATGAGTTTGTGTATGTGGAAGTTTGTGCCAAATTCCAAGAAAAATAGGCTAAGACACTTAAAGTCACAATGATTAAGAGAGTGAAAACAAAGCTCATTCAGATGCTATGGCTACACAAACATCTGTCTTTGTGTTGCACAAGAGGACACATCCATCCATGCACTGAACATAAACCACCTGCAGCTCAAACTGAACAATCTGCTGTGAAACTGACGCCCGGGTAATAGATGATCCTCATCTGAATAAACCTGAGATTATTTCATAAACATACAGACATGTCCATAAATAAATACACGGTGTGATGGATACCAATATTCTAAGCATGGAAGCATAATTCAGCGGACGGAGGCGGGGAGGGTGGAGAGATTAAGTAGTCGGACATTTCAACATCAATTATGCATTCTGTTCAGCAGCACGCCTGGACAGAGCAGGAACTCAAATATTAATACGAGCATTTGCTCTCTGTCAGATGGGAATCTCTGTCTCTGTCTGCGGAACATGTATGCACATACTCAAGTGAACACGCGTGTTATTAGTCAAACAGAAGCTTGTTAGTGTCCACCTCACTCGTGTAAAATGTCTCGTTTGTGCTCATGTGTGTTGTTTGGAAGCTGCTGGAGTTACATTTTGAAGGGGCATGGGTCTCTTTGGGGCTGCTATCAGGCTCTGTGTATGACTGCACTGTCACACTTCATGGTTCCCACTGTGAGTGCATACGTGTGTGTGTGTGCGTGGACCATTCGTCAACATAAGCCTCCATCACAGACAGAGGAATCCATCTCTCTCTGTAAAGAACAATCACACACCGCAGTGAAGTGTAACCTGTGTTTGTGTGTGTGTTCAGTAAACAGAGATGTTTTCATGATAATGTGTTTGTGCTCCCAGGTGTGTGATATGAGCTCAGTGTTAGCAGGTGTTCCTAAACTACCTCGAAAACCATTAAGTCTCTGACACACTAAACCGAAATTAAAGACCTAGCGGCAACTTAGCCACAGTTGTGTCACTATGGCAACATCTTGGCCCAAAAGTCTAATTTGTTCACACTGCAAACACTACAGCCCCTGGTCAACTATAACGTACATTCTACTTTCGAGGAAATAACTCTGCTTAGCAGCAGGCTATATTCATCTTTAAAAAATGAAACTGATTTACAAGCTGTTGTTATGATACGCACATTAAATCAAAGCAGCATTTAGCCACCAATTTCACACAAGCTTCTGCCGCCAGATTAAACATGTCAAATCGTGCTGTGTGCAGGGCCAAAAAGTGTAGCTGATCGCAAAACATGGCCGACAGACGCTAATCTAAGGGCCAACATTGACTGACGAATGATAATCGGCTTGGTGTTTCAGGGCCTTATGTATTTATTGAATGACAGATCCTTGGAAGATCCTTGGCTGGTTTAAAAATCTGGCAAATCTGTACCGCCACTTTACGATCCTCAAGATCTAGTAACATTGCAAGGATAATTCCAGTATGGTTATAATGCGAATGAAAGTGAAATGAAGGGACAAAATCGTTTTAAATGTGGAGCAAGCAAACTAAGCATGAGACTACACTTATTTCCTCCACCAAGCAATGTTTTTAGCTTTGGTCAGTTGGTTTGTTGAAACTTTGTGGAAAAGTATAGCATGGGCCAAGAAAGAACCCATAGATGAGAGCAGTGCCTTGCAAAATGACAGCCCCGCCCAATGTCTGGTGAAAAGAAAGAATCGGCACAATTTTCTTGACTTTTCCAAGCAAATAGGAAGGTAAAAAAAAAGGTTGAAAGTAGACAAAAAAAGTGTAATCAATGGGAGCCGGTGAGTCAATACGTGTATATATGTGGGAAACACTTCATCACAGCTAAATGATGATGATAATGAGGCTAACATCACAGTAATGTTACAGTTAAACTAGTTCATGTAGATGCTGCATTGAAATATAAAACACTGACAAGCCAAGGAAATGCCAGTTTAAGTGTTAGGCTGCTGCCTGCTAGTCGTTTACCGGCAGACAGAAAACACATCTATCCCCTATGGATTTTAATTTGCGATGTAGAAGGAAAGTTCTCAAACGGCAGAGTGGATTCTCACATTGTTTCGAGTGCCCTTCTAGTGGTAACGCAAGGACTAAAAAGCGACTTATTCTGAGATGACAGGTTGTTTGGTTGTTACCCATCTGTTCGCTTGCTTGATTCTCAGGTTGCTTGTTGTCCTGCTGACCTACAGTACAAGCGGTTACTGGTCACGGCTGTCATAGAGAACCAGTATGCCAGAAGCAACCACCAGCCAAAGTCACCGAGGTCACTCGATCTTCGCTGCTACCATCACCACAATGCCTCATCTTCACCACACACCACAATTACAGTATGTGATATCTGCAGGGGTCCAAAGTGACTTTCAACATGATGGAAAGAAAATCCCTCTTGAAATATATTTGAATAATTCTTTCCGCCACTTTTCGGGGGAATCTCTCTGCAGATTGTGTGTTCAAACTGAACAATGAAGTGAAATGTAAATTATAGCTGGTAGGCGGTGTCATCCATACAGGTAAAGAAGTGTCTCTGCTCTCACATCTTTTGCAGGTTTGTGCGCTGCAAAACCAGTAACCTACTTTAGCAAAGACAAAAAAATACACCGGCATATGAGAAACATGCAAATGTATTATCTGCTTTGTGCCTCTTCAGTCTCGCTGCCTCTCCAGGGAGAGTGCGGTTGGGATAACACAATGCAGCTATAATTGGGGAGGGGGCGGAAAAAAGAAAAACTTCCTCAGGAGTGTGTGACAAGACGGAGAGAAAAGCTTGAATCCCTGCTGTCTTTCTTTCTGTCCTTCATTACAATTACAAAGACGGGTTGTTTGACAGAATTCATCAGAAGTCAGAGCACACGCGGCTGCCAATCATCGCATGGCCTTTACAAAATAACAGATCGTCGACAGCATAGAAAGACGAGAGGAAAGTTCAAGGTGGTGTGGAGGGAAAGTTTAAATGAAGATGCACATGTTGAAAAGTAGAGAATAGGAGGAAAGGTCCGAAAATGAAAGTAGCAAAAAAAAAAGGCAGGAAGAATGCGAGAGAGGAAACAGGGGATTTATGCAGACTTTCAACATTTCATAAAAGTCGTCTTTGAGAGGATTGGTCCTCATCAGCCCCCTCAGGATATTAGTCTTTCAGGAATCTCCATTTGATTAGCGGTAAATGAATGGATGATTTGAAACCAAGATGAATTTCATGATTGGACTCCGAGTGAGATTGAGAGGGAAAAAAAGGCAATCATCTTTGTATAAAGACGGTCCGTGGGAATGAAAGGAATGTTTTAATGGCCTCCGATGGTGCATATTAATTAGTCAAATAGCAGCCAACAGTGCAATATCACAGCCTTGGATTAGACTAGATAAAGGTTGCTGTATAAGTGTTAGTGTATAGGGAGGTAACATCAAACTCAAGGCAGATAGCTCATTGAACAAACCGAAATGCATCACCATGAACAGAAGCAACAGGAGAGACAATTAGTGTTGTTTATTTAGCAGTATTTATTTCCTCTGCAGGGCCTGGGACACAGAGTGACAGGACTGTGCAATGTTACCATGGCAACACAGCAGCCACAGCAGTCTGGTGTCAGGAAGGACAAAAAGAGGAAGCGATGGAGGGAAAGAAGGACAGAGTTTATGGATGCTGCACCCACACCACCACCTGCTCTCGTGTATGGGTGGGGGGGAAACTAGTCAAGAAAATCGATTGATAATCTTGTGTGTTTATTTTTTTCTACAAAAAACCTAAATGATCCTTAAGGTGGGGAAAGTATTATTGTGTGTTAAAAATAGAAATCAAACAAATACCAGCTTTATGTGATATTTCTTTGTAAAATTCAGTTTTATTTATAGTGTCTAAGAAACAAAAAGCCCACCAATTATTAAAAAAAACGTGTTTAACTTATTTGTATTATTGAAGCCATTCATAATTGAAAAATAGTAAATGGCTTTTGTTGTTTTGAGCTAGTTTAGCATGAAACGTTTGTCTCCTTAGGTTTTCCTTTGTGTGTTTTAATTATTGCAATTATCAGTTGATATACCTTTTCTTTAAATATAATAATAATAATAATAATAATAATAATAATAGCTTGCATTTATATAGCGCCTTTCAAGGGACCCATGGTCGCTTTACAGTAATAGGGCAAAACGTATTTTAAACACTCGTCAAACCGCATTTGTTAGGGACCATGAGCTTGATAAGGAAATTAGCAACTGCAAGTATTGTAACAAGAATCCATTTGTTATAAGCATGGTTTCACAGTTAATCCTGAATTTCAAAAGTTTCACACCCTGTCATGCACCCTTACTTTCCATCTCTGAGGCTGAAACTATTACAGTTATTCATTCATTTCATTATACATACAATGTCAAAACTCACAAATAAGGGCCACACTAATATTGCATATTTAGTCTAAGTGGAGTTTATACGTTTCATTTTTATATGAAAGGTGTTTCATATGAAATCTCATTACAGTCAACTATGGGCTCACGGCAGCTACAGTACATAATAACCATAAATGTGACCCAGATTTTATAATGATTGATACTTAGAATAAGTATAATTCACAAAAGCATCAGCTCTTTACAGCCTCATTAGGACATAACCAAATGTTATGTTATGTTACAACATTCGATGCAAGGAGGAGTTACAACAAATGTTAGAACTAATATTGCTTGGTGGGTAAAAAAGAGGGCTACAGTACTTTCTTAAGTGTTCTTAAATCACAACTTCCTTGAGATAAAGGACATTTGAACAAAACCCCTTCGTGTGTGTGTGTGTGTGTGTGTGTGTGTGTGTGTGTGTGTGTGTGTGTGTGTGTGTGTGTGTGTGTGTGTGTGTGTGTGTGTGTGTGTGTGTGTGTGTGTGTGTGTGTGTGTGTGTGTGTGTGTGTGTGTGTGTGTGTGTGTGTGTGTGTGTGTGTGTGTGTGTGTGTGTGTGTAAGTGTGTTTGTGGGCGGTGTGACTGACAGGCTGGCGCGTTCCATTATTTCCTGAGCAGGAAATGAGAAGTGTTGGGCTGTCAGTGAGCCGAGCACAAACACACACTGTCAACAAGTATCTCTCCCTCTCTCTGTGAGTCAGATATTATTGTCGATATTTTACCATCTCTCCATCTTTCATATCCATCATGCCGTCTTTCTCTCCTCCCATTCAGTCGCTGTCACCAATCCATTTTTTATTCCAGCCCTCCAATCTATATTTCTACTCTGTCGCTCGCTCCCCCTCAGTCCCCATCAATCAATATCGCTGTCGTTCATCTATTTTCCATCTCTGCCTCTCTTTACATCTGAAGGGGCTACAGTGGGTGGGTTGCTGGAGGTGGAATTGGGGGTTTTGTGTGCTTGTGTCTTACATGCTGTCAAACGTGTTAGACAAAAATCCTGTCAGCACGCATTTCATTTGTCACTACACACACAAACCCATACGTAGTAGCACACATATCAAATGTGCTTCGACAGATGTTCAATAATATGTGTGTGGGGGAAAATGTGCTCTGAGATCATTTGTTTAACACAGCTGACCTGAGATGCATTACAAGAGTCAAAAGATTAACAGATGTTTATCTCTTGGATATCAAAAACTGTGAAAAAATACAATTAAAATATCATAGAGCTCATTTAAAACTTTTAGATATCAACTTAAACTTTTATATTCATATTTGTATTTTGTGCTTCTTCTGTGACATGTTTACAGAAAGTCTTTATTGTTCTCATACTGATGCAGCACCTCTTTTCACCCTCTGTCTGAAACCAGAGCCCAGTCTGCTCTGATTGGTTGGCTGGCAAATCACATACCCCAAAATACATAATTATAATTACAGCGTCATGTTTGGATTCTACTGTCAAAGCAGCTAAGTTGCTGTTTACACCCAATTGTGTCCAAAATGTTATCACCTTATCATTTTGGCCTGTTGGATATTTTTGTGTGAAATTGTCATATTTAGCATATGCATTTTCGTGTTGTGGACCTTCACCTCTGACCACCAAAATCTAATGAGTTAAATCAATTGCACGTTTTATAAATTAGCAAAAAACCCTGCTCTTAAGACTGGTATGGACCTGAGGTCACAGTGACTTTGACCTTTGACCAACTAAAACCTAAAAAGTTTATCGTTGAGACAAAGTGAGCGATTGTGCCAGACATTCCTGACATATCATGGTAACAAAAGTGGTATGGATGGAAAGCCTGAAAACATGATGCCTCTAGCCACAGATGTTGCGGAGCCAGCAAATCTTCACATTTGAAAGGTTGGAGACAACCCGATGTTTTGCACTTGATAAGTACCTTACACTTTCTACTAACTTAGACAATTGGACCAAGAGTCCAACCAATAAAAGAACTGATGTTGGATGCAGATAAAGATAGTATAGCTACACATTTGTTAAAGGCTCCATCAAATGTAGACTTTAAAGTGTAGTGGTCATGATGTGTAGAAGTGGGACATTTTACGGTTAAAACATAAAACTTGTCAGTGCTTTCAGATATATTGTGATACGCTACATATCAGGCGGCTATGCCAATATATCAATCAGGCTCGTGCAGCAATGTTAGTATCAATTTGTCCCGAGCTGAATTTATATGATCTGTTTATTCCCACATGGCCTAATCAATCTGTTTAAGAAGAGCACGTGTTGACAGTTTTATGACATTCTACATTTACGGGGAACAGTGCGTTATGTTAACAGCTGGAGGTGGAGGTCGTTGTGTCATTCAAATAAGAACTCAAAATAAACCTGACACATTTAAGTCATTCTTCAAGACCTTAACAGTCTGCAGCCTACAGAATGTCGGCTTGTGCATTCATTGAAGAAATCAACTACCTCGCTGTGTCGTGCTCAATGAGCAGTCTCAGCTGTTAATTGAGCTTTGTTGGTGTGTGATTGTAAACAACACGACTTCATGTAACACACGTCACCTGCTGTTGCTTCAAACACCCTTTAGCAAGAAATTAAAATCAGAAACACCTTGAACTAAAAAAGATTCTTGTTTTCTTGTCATTTATTTTAACAATGCTACCAATGGTGACCAAAGATGGTGATGTCTGTGTGTTCAACACATCAAAGGAGATATACCGACTACTGCTTGGCAATATGCTATACAAATGTGTGGCTATTCAATGTCCCCACAGGATGAATTAAAGCTCATCTATTATGCTATATTTGAACAATTTATATAGGGCCATATCTATACAAAACATGTGTCTGAAGTGTTTTGCTCAAAATATCAAACAGATCACCCATGCCTCGTACCCCTCCATTTCAGCCCTGTTACAAAAGTGCTGATTCTACCCCTGTTTTTAGAGATGTGGGTAAGGAGGAAAAGAGAGAGGGTTGTACTTGCTGACACTTTGTGAGTCTCCTTACACACCGAGGACACATATTTATGTATAAAATACATCAAAAAGTGCATTTTGCATAATAGGTGACTAATTTAAAGTGTGACATTTTTTTATTTTAAAAGGAACGTTTGGAAATGTTTAAATAGCTTGGTTATGTGTTGCCGGTTGCAAGAGTTCCCCACAAATTGACTGGCAAAGGTCTGCCGTACGATGCAAAATAAATAACATCATCCATTGGACTTTAGCTGGCTGGTGAGAAGGGAGCTTGAAAAATAGTTTTCATTTGTTTTCAAGCTGCTTACTGTTTCAAGTGTCAGAGCGAGCACAGATATTTGTGTGTGTGTGTGTGTGTGTTACCTGTGTGTCCATGCAGAGGGGAGTGTGGTCGTGGCAGCGTCGGCGAGGTGCTGGATGTCACAATAAGGCTCTTCCTGTTGCTCGTCCGACAGCTGTGTGCAACAAACAAGCTCAGATTAGTGAATCATCAACGTTTGGATGTTAAAATCAATAAAGTAGAGAAGTGTATTGTCTGCATAAAAACTGGAACAGCAACAATTCCAAGGAGCTTTGCAATGAAGCAAACACAGATTTGTTATCACTGATTTTGTAAAGCTGGTTTCTCTTCTTATGACAATTCTCCGCATTGGGTAAAGAAAACAGTCACTTGTCTGACACAGGTTAGGTATACACAACTCTCACAATATCCTGAATGTAAAGGTCTGTCATTTGTAATGTTTACAAACGTGTCCAAACACTCCTCTGTGTCAGTAACAGCAGGTGTCGACTCTCTGGCCGTCAGACCCACATCTGATCACATTAGACTACGTAAAGGTGTGTGTGCAGCTTTCACGGATGTTACAGTTGAACTGAAACGAGAGCTGCGTTCCTCACTCTGTCCTTCACACCAGAGGACAGTGAGGAGGACACACAAACACATCAGGTAGTGGCAATCACAGATGCAACTGTGCAACACACAGCCAGCGTCTTTCAGTTCACCTTCAGCAAGTCAAATACTTTTGTTTTGTACAAATGTTCTAGTACAAAGAAGCTAAAATGCTGCAGCCAATAACCTTAGGATTAATGATAATGATACAAAACAGATGAGGCACTCCGTCAGTTTCTAATAACAATATGAACACTGGGTACGGCAGCCCGGACTGGACAATTACTGTAATTTGTCACCGATCTTCAAGAGGAGACAACAGCACCAATTCTAAAGTGACATGACATTTTAATTACACAATATGCACATCTATCTACTAAACACATGATTATAGACGATACCGTTGAAACAGCATTACTATAATTCATCTTAATCCATTGTATGAATTTTCATCTGGGCATAATTAAATGACAAATGTTTTGTCTTATTCTATGTTTTTTTTAGCTTGATCATGAAAGAAACTGTATTTGTTTCGGCTGGAAAAATATGAATATTGTACTAGGAATAGGTTGTCAGTAAATTCAGCTGTTAGAAAACATCTATTCTATTAGAAAATGTCGACCCAGGCTCAACTGCTAATGGCTGTAGAGTCATTATGATGGTGATCCTGCAGTAAGATGGTTACACTCCAGCTCCCCTCTGGACTTGAGATGATGTTTGTTGTGTATATGTATATCTGTGTGTGGGGGTGTGCACACACTGCTGTGCAAAAGATGTTTGTGGAGAAAAAAAAAAAAGCAATCTGCTTTAAAGCTGTGACATCCATCCCCAGACAGATGGGAAGAGGAGGAGTTGAAGCGGCAGCCTTCACACCTAACAGCTCCAACACGAGCGCAGGTCGAGCTCTCAGGATTTTCCCACTTTCTTGTTTGCTCTGAAGCTCCGAGCGGAGCATGTGCGTAATGACTTGAGGCGAGGCTTGTTACATTTAGAGGAAATGACAGATGGAAAAGTTCACTTTGATGCCTGCCTGGGACGATGTTTATCTAAAGTAACATAATTCTACAGCTGCCACCTCTCTATTCCAAAAAACATACTTGCAGAGTATGATGAAATGTAACAGATGCTCTATTGTCAGTGTAAACCATCACAACTTCAACCCAAATAGTGAGCCAGTCAATACATCTGAATGGTCTTCCTCAGGGATCTATACTGGGCCCTTTCCTGTTCATTACATATAATGATGACATTGCACAAAACAATGTCTCTAATTGGCTGATAGCACGGTCTCATATTGTGTATCAGCCTGAGTGCTGCTTCACTTCAACAATCTCCAATTAGCAACTCTTAAATTGTCGTTTGGAATGCAGACTAAACAAAATCAAATCTTTATTGCAGAAAGATGAGAAGCCATATCCTGATTTAAAAAGGGTACTTTTTTGTTGCACTTGTCTTGATGAAGTTTAGAAATGTAAAACTGTTCTTGAGAATTCAGGGTATTATCAAACTATTTATTTATCTATTATCATAAATGTACTCAAAACGATTAGACAGATGGGTACAGTCAGGTGCTATATACAGTCTATTTACAAAAAACAATATGATTTCCTTTTTCTTCTGAATTCGACGGTCAAAGGCTGTATTGTAATTGGTTGCAATCTCCAAATAAGCAGGTATTTTCTATACCCTTTGGCCATTACTCATTGAGCCCATAATTAACAACCTCATCCTTGAAGTATTTGAGTTTAGTGTCTGTCTCTGTCTATTTCTTTACCTTAAATAACGTATGTTCAAACTACTAAGAAAGTGGGTAGAACTCCTTCCTTGAGGAGTTACTGATTGTACTTCTCGAAAGAAATTACACCCTTCTGACAGATTCTTGCAGTAACGGCAGGTATGTTAACACTTACGGCATTTTTGTGGCGTTAATTGGCCCATCGCAGCTGCTTGCTGTAATTATGTAGTTGTGTAGCAAGTGTTTGTGACAGGACGAACGTGCCGAGATGATCACTAGACACGTGAAGCAATTAAGGCTGAAATCTTCGTTACAGTTGAATAATCAGCGTGACGCCTCAACATGTTTTTGGAGCTCTTTATCTTTTCTATATTTGTGATTTTGTATTCCTGTATCTGTGGGGACCATTTTGACATTCAAGGTTATGTTTGGCTTAGAATAAGGTAAGATTTAGGGTAAGGGGCTGCAAATGTTTTATTTTGTGTGTTTGCATGCTACTAAAGTATAAGTGTGCATGCAGGGGGACACCAAGAGTCTATGACAAGATTGTGTAAAATCCACATGCCCATGTGACAAATATTTACTGCATGTGATGTGGATGTGGCATGCAGTGTGTACGTGTGTGTCCTGCCATCTGTTGAGGTGTGCAGCATCAGCGGTTTGAGCATAGCATGCGGTCTACACACAAACACACTCCTGTATGACGGATGAGCTGCCATGTTGGATATTCAGTGATGTGTGTTCAGGGAATTTCATCGTCTGACACATAGACCCATATAAACACTAGAGTGATGTTTACTGCTTTCTCAATTTTGCAAAAAATGTGATAGCAATCTGTATTTTACATTACATTACATGTCACTTGTTAGACGCTTTTATCCAAAGCGACTTACATACTCAATACTGTGGGCAATCCCCACAGGAGCAATTTTGGGGTGAAGTGTCTTGCCCAGGGACACAACGACATGCTGACTGCAGTGGGGTTTGAACCTGTGACTATCTGATCCCCATACCAAGGCTCTATCCACTGCGCCACACGCCTCCCATTTTCTCTGAACTCTTAAAGCTTTGGCATTTGTGTTGAGTTTGTGAAGATAGTTTGACTTTTAAAGACATTTCACTTGTAGAAACTGATAATATCAGCTAAAACTGAGATCATTTGAACCCTGGGAAAAATGAAATTTAATGGGACATTTTAATCTTCACACGAATGAACTTTACGCTCCCCTGCAGACACATTTCTCATTATAAGCTGACCTGCTGTGCAACAACTAAAATACTCTCTAGCTTACTATAGTAAGGATAGGAATGAATTCTCTGGGATACAACACTGCCTCTATTTTGAGACCAAATATCCTTTTATAATTTACAATAACATACTTAGTTAATTTCTATGAATTTATGAGGAAACTGTCATTTAGATCATACAAGTGCAGGGACTTTGTGGTAATCACTTCATCTTGTAAGAGGTTTTTAGTTGATCGTGACATTTGAGAAAAAGTGAAGTTGGACTGATAAGAGTTGATCTGCTCCACTGAAGCGGAGCTAAAGGACATACAGTACTGTACAGCGCAGACGAAAGACAATAGGGGCCCGATAAGAAAGGAAGAATTGACACAAGAGAACAACCTTTAAAATGGAAGGACATAAAGTTGCCACTCAAAGTCCCACTGAGATAGAAGCAGCGCTGAGTTTTTGGTTAATTTACGGCGACTGTCGCTCACTCTGCTGCGGTTCACTGGCTAATGAATAAAGTTCAGAGGCGGCCTCATGAGTATGGATTTAAATATGAGCCAGTCCAAGGCTTCTAAAGTGCCTGTCAAATTCGGGGTGAGTATAATAAAAGGGGACAGAAGTTTTGAGAACACTAAAAAGATTTTAAGTGTTCAACTTCTGAATGATTCTGCTTCTGGTGGAAGATGTACAGAGGAAGCAAGACAACTCCACCTATAGTATAGTATAGGTTGACAGGCACGCACCAAACGTGACTTGTTTCTGACATGTTTACACACCAATGTAGCTGATGCAGCACACTTTCACTCTCAGAGAAACTGGTCTAGTTCTTTATTCTCCTGCAGGCGTTTTTGGATCCCTGCTGGGAAACATTTTTCCATTATGCAGAACTGACTGAAGGCAACATATTTGTGGGAGCATGTGTGTGTGTGTGTGTGTGTGTGTGTGTGTGTGTGTGTGTGTGTGTGTGTGTGTGTGTGTGTGTGTGTGAGAAGAGGGCTTTTAAGTGCCTCTCATCACCATGAAAGCAGCAGCCTGTCAAGTATGAGCACAGTGACTGAGTGCTGCTGCTCACTTTCATTGCTTTCTCTGACTGAAGCGGCTTTTATGAGCAAAAATTGGTCATGATTTTTTCCCTAAGCGTGGTTGAGGATTCAAAAAGATGTTATGTTTCCATGGCGGCATTACGGGCAAAGAGCAGTACCTCTAAACGGCCATTTAAAAAATAATAATATGTTCAAGACTGTGGGAAATATGCTTATTTGCTTTCTCTCCGATGTGAGATGAGAAGATCAATATCAAACTCATCGCTAGCCTGGATCTTTCCAAAGTTTGAAATGCATACACTAACACCTCTAAAGCTCTCTGATTAATGTTCTGTATCTCATTTGTTTAATCCACAAAAAAGTTCAATTTGTATTTTCTGAAGGAGTGACATGCTATTTCTTATTGACCAGTCCCTGCAGTGACTGAGGCTTAGCGAGCGTATCTTGTGACCTGGGAATCACAGAATCTGCACAGATAACATGTTGTTCTTCAAGAATAAGAAACATGACACTCACTTCTTTCCTCACAGATTGGAAGTAAACAAACACGTTACAACATGTGATGAATGTCCAGGGTCAACAATGACCTGTAGATGTTTCGTTCCTGCTTCAGGGCGCTAAGGGGATAGTTATGGAAGGTAGCGGTTGACCATAGTAGCTCAATATTTTGCATAGCAATATGGTAGCGATACATGACTAGCAAGTATTGGTCATTCATCATGTTGACTTATTAGATAAAACAGACGTTTATAAAATGCATTTGAATCCAAATGTATGTTGTCACTATCGCTCAGTATAGTGGAAAGTGTTATTGTGACTATCATGATTTTATTCTATAGTGGGTCATCTGGTAAATCCCACCTCTATAAGCTAATGTAACAACGGCTTGTTTGCAGATTTGTACCACACACAGATATGAGATCATATTTAGCTTCTTATTCCCAAATACATTATTTATTGCTTTTTAGTAGAAATGTTACCTGGATAAGTATTTATGGTGGGATTCTTTTTTTAAATGCAGTTTCATTACTCCAAGTAAATTGAAATTGAAAACTAAAAAGTAAATTCCCAATGCTGTTGTTTTCCATGTGTGAGAACTGCATTTTATATTCACAAATTGTAGGTCTGTTGGATTTATGTGCAGTACTTGAGAGAAAAAACAAGTCAAGATCTCAACAGTAAACGACATAAATAGTAGAATTATAGAGCTGGCATGTACTGTATGTTTGCAAATGTGTGTTTACTCAGGTTTTACCAGCGATAGGTGCGACTGCATATAGCCTCAGAATGTAATAACTTTGCCACTGTAAAACTCACAAGACACACAGAAGCATACGGCGATGTGACAGCGCTAACAGGAGATAGTGGAAACTAGCGATGTGCAAACAGCTGTGTGGGTGTTAAACTAAACTACCTGACACACACACAAGCACACACACACACGAGGCATCAGGCGAGTGGATGTGGATAAGATCTACAGCTAAACTCATTTCCAAAAGTCCACTCAATAATGTGTTTCTGGGGTTACAGCCACCACAGGAAATCAATGTAACACCTCAGAGTGTGTGGCTGTGTGTGTGTGGATTCCACTTTATTCACTTGCTTTCTGCTCTTCTATGAGTTAGTGTTATTGGGTTCACGCCCCTAAGAAAAAACACATTACACTAAAATGCAACTCTCATTTGGCCTTGTGCCTATTGCCTTTGTTTTCTAAGTTATAAAATGACGATCTGTTGATAAAGGGACTACTTTTGGTTGATTTACAGCAATACATTTTTAATAAGGAATGTGTCGGCTGCACTGTGCATCAAAACCTTTCAAGTATTAAAGTTGTATAATCATCTGGTAAAAAGTTTAAAATGGAACATTTTGACCCATTTTACACTTTCTTCTCCTACTGTAAGTGTAAGGGAAATGTTATGCTCCAAACTTTGGCTAAGTTTATCAAATGAGAAACAACATGTTTTCACAGTCCGAAAAGTATCAAACTATACTATATGCCTGTAAATTAGCAGAGCATGTATACAACCCCACTACTGTGAAATATTCTGCACTAAAAAGGTAAAACAAAGTAATTATATGTTTTAAGCGAGTTCAGACCAGAACTGTACTTTTTGACAAAAATGATTATACCATCAAATAGTATAATTCAAATGGTTTGTGTCCTTTTAGTTTGATACAGTTACATTTCTGTATTCCATTTATGGAATTGAAAGTGAAGATGACTGGGCCTTCATTCAACGTGTTTCATATTGTTTTCACTAAAACACCATAAAGATCCAATACATAAAAAAAACTTATATTCTAATATAAGTTGCATTTATCAGGAGGGGCTTTTTTGCTTAAGGGGTTACTCTCACATACAAAGCCCCCATTTGATAGTAACGAAAAAGGGGAATGGGAAGACAAATTCCGTTCCGATAATCCTGCCAACAGGAAGTCAGATGAACCATTTCACTTGCTAAACTTTGGGAGCTGTGAGCATCTGCCTAGAGATAGGCATTACCACCTTTCTCTTAATAGATCCGCACAGGTGTTGATATGTTAATCTTGGAAATTGATCAAATTAAAACCGTAAGCATCTGGCGAGTGATAATAAGAGAAAATGGAGACATGTGAGCAACGTCGGGAGAGCACATTAAGCACTAGATGCAAACATGTATGAGGTGCAGACACAATGAACTTCTTTTTTAAAGCATTTTATCAATACAAAAAATTGAAAATTCATTGACTATATTATGGCAAAAAGAAGCAGAAACATCCTGCATTAGATAGGAAGTGAATATGAGCCTTATGGGTGGAGAAGCAAGTAGTCCTGTTTGTTTGACACATCCGAAGACATGGTCAGGAAACAGAAAGCCAAGCGATGGGCGGAGCCATAATTACTATGCTTTTGAACTGGATATGATAACTGGTGTTAAAATTACCCTTCGCTTCAACTATTTTCTGTGGGAGCCAAGAATCAATTTTGTCCTGATTACAGCTCTAAGCCAGCTCCATCCTCCCAATCCAAAAACTGTTGCTACGCAGGAGTCACTTCACAGGCTCTTTCTCTTTTAAAAATACTGCCGAGACTAACTGCACACAACAGGAGGCGGCGACAGATGAAGAAATCTGTGGTGTGTGTGTGTGTGTGTGTGTCTGTGTGTGTGTGTGTGTGTGTGTGTGTGTGTGTGTGTGTGTGAGTGTGGCAGTTATACCCTGTTATTACAGGGAGGAGGAAGAAAATTGCTTCCTCACAGTGATAAGTACAGCTCTGTGTTGGCTTCTCTTTCCTGCCGGAGAAGCTGCTTCTGACTGAGTGACAGAAGAGAAAGAGAGAGGGGAGGTCAGCTGAGGTAACGCAAAATAAGAGGATAAATAACGACAATGTTGTCACGCACAAATGCCAAATTGTGCCTTGCAAACTGGATTTGCATCATGAACTGGTTAAAGGTACGCAGATAGAGAACATTAGATTCTAAAGGACACGCACGGAGCAGTTCTGGTAAACATCCCAGCAGTGTGAGGTGTGATTCCTATAAACACAAACACACAGTGAGACAGAGAGTCCTGTTTATCCTTCAAACGACAAATCCTGTTAGCTGACCTTCACTGGAGCAACTCCTGCTGAGCATCTAATACATGCAAAGAGGAAGAGGAGGGAGATGGAGCGGCAGAAATTGAAAAAGAGATGACTACAAACAGCTAATTGAGAGAGAAAAATGAAAGGAGGGGAGGAAAAGAGGCTATAGCAGAGACGGGAAACATCTGAACTAATACGAATATTTATAGATGGAGTGAAAATAAGCGAGTACCTCTTGGAGCGCCGCAGCATGCTCCTCTCGGGCAGTGAGAAATTGGAGAGCACCGTCCAGGAGTCAGACATGCTAACGCAGACGTGCGACCATCGCTTTAACACACTCTGCAAACAGACGCTGGCTCCCACCTGTCACACCAGCATGAGTGTGTTAGAGTTGCTGGTGTGTCTATTCTCTCCTCTCTCTCTCTCTCTCTCTCTCTCTCTCTCCGCTCAGCAGAGCCCCCTCCCTCCCTCCCCCCCCTCTCGGATGCTCTTTTCTTCTTCTCACCCCTCTGTTCCTGAGTGGAGCTCTTATTGGGTTCAGCAAAAGGCAGAGCGGGGACAGACTGGTTATTAGAGTAGAGATGTGTATAGGGAGATAGGGTTTGATTCCACCAGTGAATTGCATCAGTTATATTTACCGTAACTTATTTCTATTACTGTTCAAGATGAAATAGAGATGCAATCAAGAAGAGATGTTCCTTACTTCAAGACAGGGAGGAAATGCAATAAGCATGCAAGACGAAAAATCCCGGAAAATAATTAGATTAGAATCTACTGAACATCCAATGACCCTAAATGTGGTAAAAAGGCTAAAGTCACGCCAGTTATCATCATTATAACCAAGGTCTTCTGCTTCTCTTTACGACAAATGGGACTGTGAATGTGTTGGATATACACTCAAATAAACCATAGATGGTACAATTTATTATAAATATATACTCAGACAGTTTTGGCCACGTTAGTATTTTCTAATTTGAGGAACTTTGCAAAATGAACATTACAGTTTTAAAGCATCAACGCATCCTAATATTGCTCTTATTGATCTGTCAGTCTTCTTTGAATATTCGTCAGAGTTATAAAGAGTAGAGCTCCGGAACTAATATAGCAGGCGTCCACTATCAGATGAATCACCAACTATTTTATTATGGATTATCGCTTTGAGTATTTAAAATAACTTTTGTAGAGTGACCCTGAAGTCCCTTCACAAAAATCAATGGGATATTTCTATTGGGTCTTCGAATATAGCAGAAAACACAATCTACTGTATGCTAAACACACTTTTACAAGTTTTGTTATTATTACTTTTATAATTGTTAAAGCATAATATAATAATATAAATGCAATCGGCAGAGGTAAAAAGCTAGAAATAGGCTTTAAGCAAACTCTATCATGACTTCACGGACTGAGATCGACGTGAAGACGTTTAGAAATCTCAATTAGTCACTTGTTAACAACCGCTCTTTTTATGACATATTCTCACAAGTGTGGTATTTTCTGATGTGTTTTGCGTCATAGAACACAATGTAAAAAAACTTGTACTTGTGTTAAACACAGAACCTATTTCGGGCTTCTAACCAAAAACAGTTGTGCTCGAGATGAGAGAACCAGAAGTGTTAAAATGCCCACTATTTCCAGGTGTTACGACTCATTCCAGCACCTCCCTAGTGTCCTTTCAAGTATCCAGAGAAGTCTCTAATGTTGAGGTGTCATTAGTGTTGGACTGCCTCTCACTGCCCTTTCAGCAGCTCAGTCTTCACGCTGAACGCAAATGTCGCCTGACAAAAACAGAAGGTCAGGAAAGTCGTTAAAGCGGGCCAACAGAAGACACACACACACACACTTACTGACAAACAGGTGTGTTATGGGGTGACACAGCACGCCTCTTACCTCCAGAGGAAGGGGTTTCCTCGCTGGTGAACAGGGGCCGACAGAGGGCCGTCAGAGGAACAGAGGGAGGGGGAGGAGGAGGACAGGGGGGAGAGGGTGACGACGGGGAGCTGAACGACGGAGGGATGAAAGGAAGTGGGGGACAGCAGGTGCTGGAGGAGGCTGCTGTTGCCGTGGCAACGCAGCTGAGCTGGCGACCAGATTCTGCCAACAGAGGAGGGAGGGGGGGAGGAGGGGAAGAAAGGATGAAGAGGGGAGGAAGAGAGCAGGGCCAGGATAGAGGAGTGTGTGATGAGGACTTATTGACCGTGTGTGTGTTGGCTTTGAGGAGACATCAATGCTGAACTGTATTGATAAAGCAGTTGAGAAGTCTAAGTGGAAACATCTATCTGTTCTATTTTCCTCCATCTGTCCAGCTACACCCAGACGTGTAATATAGTGCACCATTTTAGGACTACCATTTTACATTTTGATGTGTCATTTTAATAGTTTTAACTACAATCCTTTTGATGCTTCATGCTAAAAATAATATGTTATCGGAGACCAACTTAATGTCCTGAAGTACGTAACTCTGGCTGAATCATGGCTCCAGAAAACTGTCTCAATTAAGATCTGTGTAAAGTTTGTTCATACTTCATCGACTGAGACTTTGGTGTAAAAAAGTGAGTTGAACATGAGCTTGGTTTAACTTTCATAATTCCTAGCTATCGCTCTTAAAAAACGCCACAGTCAGTCCGTTAGAATGGTAGGATATAGTGAAAGGTTTGCAAATGAATATGTTTTTTGTACTCTATACAATGTATTTCTTAATTTAGGATGGACTGATCACAATGCCCATCGAGAAATAGTTTGGTAAAGTAAAAAGTTCAGCTTTTACTGCCCAAATTTCAGTCGCGTTTTGAGTGGTAATAGCCTTTTTCGACAGCGGCTGACAGCACTGAGCTCATATTGTAAGAACGTACAGCCCCTGGATTTGAGGGTTTGAGGCTGCAGCGTGCCAGGCTCTGCCCACTGATCCGCACCGGCTCTGCCTGCCTGCAGATGTCCCCCTCACAGCAGGCAGGAAGCATCGCACAATAACTTATGGTGGTTGGAAACAGCTGGACAGAAAGTTCTGGATCAACTTCAGAGAGCTCAGTAAGGACTCCATGAGATGTTTGTACTCAGTCATATCAAATGTTGCCTTGCTTTACCTCTCACAAGAAGAAGTCCAAAGTATTGTGAAGAAGAAAAAATAGGGTTGACTTTTACATTTAAATGGTCTAAAAACACCCTCAGAGTTCAAATGGCAGTTGGCACCAATCTGTAGGGCATGAGGAGCGTATGGTGGTGGCTTCCATGTCTCCCCCCCCCCCCCTGCTGGGTGGGACAGAATGGGTGAGACCACCTGCTGGGAAGTCAAGGGCTATTCAGATTTGAGCATGAGCAGTGTTTCCCGTGCATAATGTAGGGCCATCTGTGGTGCACCGCTACAGTTTCCGCACGTCCATTGCATGAACAAAATTAAAACAATTTCATAATGAAATGCTAGATCCAATAGTAAGTCGTGCCATCTGGCCCCCGAGCGAGTGGACTAACAGTGCTGCTGTCACATATAGTGGGGGGGGGGGCAGTTTGATCAGGTCAAAGGGTCGAGGTTTTTAGAGATCAGGTTTAATAAAGACTATTTCAACAGGATTAATTAACAAACAAGAATGAACAACTCAGGCATAGACCAATTTAACGATATGCAGCCAGACTGTAAAGACGTTTTTTTATGTGTCTGTTGCCAGGTTTTCCATCCAAATGTATAACAAATGTTGACTGAATTTCACGAAAATGGGCATAGTTGATCAAGATAAGCAGGTGATGCCAATTGTTCATATGTAACCATTACACAATTGAAGAAGAAGAGGGTAAAACAAGATGTGGTGAACTGTATGGTGGAAATTGAGGGTAATATGAAAGATTTTTTTGTTTCCTGTATTCATGTAAGGAACATCAGATCGGCGTGTAGCAGTGAGACAGTTTAAACCTTCCGCAAGTACTTTTGTATGATACTACAAGATTTGTTTCAATTTTACAGCGTTCCGTCTCATCGATTTTTACGAGCAAGTCGAAAGTGCAACTGAGAGATGGTGAATAGAATCGTCCCTTCCTTTGGTTTTTGGCATTCAAGTTAACCACGTTTTCCTCATTACACAGAAAGTGTGAGTTGATTATATTCAGTTAAAACAATGTGCAAATACCCAGATATCTGCTTTGACATACAAAGTTTATATTTGGATGTGACCTTTATAATTGGCGGGCTAACTAAATTGGGGCTCTGGGCTGTAATTAATACCTGAGAAGGGACGGAAAATTACCCATGCAAGAAAGTACACGCTGAAAACATTTAATAGCTTGTGCAATGCACCTTCTGTAAATAATGAGTAGATTCTATATACTTGGTTTGATTTTCATTTGATTTAATATCCTTATTTAAAAGTTTAAATTATAATAATCAGTATATGAATGACCCCCACAGATGACCCTCACAGTGGGGGGAACACGGACATGTGTTTAGAAATAGAGAGCTGGTCACTGGAGCTTATAAACAACTTCCTTCCCTGCTGGCATCTCACTCTGATACCTTCTCATGTTTCTGTCTCCTCACGGTTTTACGTTCCACCAGCTCAGTATGAATGTACACTATGCAGGTACTAAATTACGAACGTGTGTATGTGATGCTAGCTGAACCCGTTAACATCCGTATATTTAGTGACGCAGCTACAAAAACAATGTAGGCCTCACGCATTTATAATGGTCTGATATTCAGCAACATATCTGTATGTAGACAGTAACACAAATTGACAACTAATAAGAAAACATACAAATCATGGCAGAAGAGCATGCAGATCATTGGTATGTTTACATCCAAATGTTTCATAATGTCTAAGAAAATGTCTGCAAAAACATTGAAGATAAAGGCAAATCAATATATTTCAATCAGATTCATCAATATTCTGAGTATAGGAACATTTGAAAAGTGCAAGCACCTTTAAATCAAGTCAATTATTGGTTTGATATAGGATATCTAAATGTATGTTGTCATTGAGTTAAATGTACATCCCACAGCATCATCTTTTAGTACATTGGCACATTTCTGCAAGGTGAAAATATCCATTTCTAAAAGTTTTCATTACCAAATGCCCTCAAAACTAACTAAATCTTGCTATAATTTTAAGTGCTAATTAGCTATTGTTAGCCTGCTTAAATGCAATAATAATATGCTGACCATGGTGAACATGACCTACTGAACATCAGCATTGGTATTGAGGGCATGTTAGCATACTGGTGTTGGCATTTAGCTCAAGTATAGCCTGCATGATGCTAGCTTGACTGTAGTTTAAAAAATAAATATATATTATTGATGTTTTCCTATAGTGGTTCTTGTCAATGGCCATTTCTATTTGGATGTGAACATACTGTCCTGACAAAGAAAAAAGAAAACTATGTAAGATACATAAATGGTTGCCTTATCAGGTCTGCATTCTTCACACACACACACACACACACACACACACACACACACACACACACACACACACACACACACACACACACCACACAACCACACACACACACACACACACACACACACACACACACACACACACACACACACACACCACACACACACACACACACACACACACACACACACACACACACACACACACACACACACACACACACACACACACACCACACACCACACACACACAACACACACACACACACACACACCACACACACACACACACCCACACACACACACACACACACACACTCTTACTGGAGGTGAAGGTGTGGGGCCCCCGCTCTCTCCTTCCTCCTCTTCATCTTGTGTCCCGGGACAAAAGGCTCAACCGTAATTTTGAATAATCCAGCGAACTGCATCAGCTCATCTGCCTGTCAAACACATTCTGTTCTGTCCGTCCTCCAGCTTAAAACTGTCCCACGGTAAGAACACCATGAGTCAAACCACTGGCTGTTAAATATAAAGGAATGACCAGAGTGTGTGTGTGGCGTCAGCACCTGCTCTTATCTCCAGACAGAGACACACACAGTTATGTGAGGTATCTGGAGTAGAGTGTTTCTTCACCAACAAGCATGGGCATGCTGAGTCACAACCTAAAACACAAACACTCGCAGTCTGTGGAGTGACGTGCAGACCACGCACATCTTTGGCTCAGCTCAATAAGTAGAGCAACTCATGTTGTCTTCCTTTGAATAATCCAGAGTCATTTAACTCATGAAAGAAAATACTTTTAAAAAGAATTATGTGAAAAGTTTTGAGTATCTCCTGCATGTCAGATAATAAGGAGGAACCAATTCCTTTAAGTCCAGACTAGTTGGTAGCTGACCCTCAGCTCCACCAGACAAGGGACGCTCCCAAGTTCATGTCCCCAGGAGCAGAGTGCCTTTCCTGGGTACAGTTTGATCAGTTCCCCCCTCTCAGTTCCTGGAAGTCTCAGAGTGTCTGATCGCTGTGACATGAGAGGACTGACTGAATCCTAACAAAACCGTACCGTGAGAAGGACAGGGAGACAGACGGAGGGAGGAGGGTGAGAGAGAGGGGGAGGGAGGGAGGCGGGGATATGAAGACAGGAGGGAAGCCTGAGATGTTCTCTGTTCTGCTTCATACTGATTATTTAGAGCTTATTGTGTAAAGACAGGAATGCAGAATCAGGAATGCCTTTAATTTGCTACATGGCTTGTTTACAAGATAGTTGGTAGGTATATCTAGATTCAGTTTGTTGCTTATTATTATAATTGAGTTTTTAGGAACAAGTTTGCGTTGGACGACAGAGTAAACTTATTTTCGAATTACTTTTTAAAGACTATAAAAGTCAGGTTTACTTCTTAAAGTACAAAAATTACTGTTTTAAAAAGAATAAATACAATAATGTTATTTCTTTATTAACTTAAGGCTAACTTTACTTTGGGCTAAAATGTGTTTTTTAAACTATAGGTTTTATTTTTTTATTTATAAAAAATGTGTTTTAAATGTTTATTGAGTTGGGTGAGGGTTAGTTAATTCTAATTATTGAGAAGCATGAATGAAACTGCCCTAAACACAGACTAGTGTTGATTAATTCGGGACTAACTTCTTACAGAGAAATACTTTAGTTATTCTCTTTGAATACTTGCAGGAGATGAAAAGTTGCAGCACCGATCACAACCTTACAGGGAAATGGTCTCGCTCTCTGACACACTGACTCTGGGGACGCTGTCATGATAGAGTATTATCAGAGCAGCTGTCCTCTCGGTCTGTTCCTGTTTCTCAGAAGCCAGGACACCGCTGACCCTAATGGGCTAAATGCAGCTCACTGATTGCTAATTCATAAACAATGGAGTGGATCACAGACGGCTCTGACGGGGGTAGGGTTACACACACACACACTACTTTTTATAGTGATGCAGTTCTCAATCTGAAACTGGTATCCGTGACTGGAATCGTACATTTGGTTGGTGTATGGTTTTGTCTGTTTATGAACAATGAATCATGGTGCGCTGCGGAACAAAAACCCATAAGAAACAATGACATCACTTCTTTCTCTCTTTCCAAATCTTTCTCTTTGCTTCCCCTTCTTTCCGGGTAATTGAATACCAGAATGAATACCAGAATGAACACACACACACACACACACACACACACACACACACACACACACACACACACACACACACACACACACACACACACACACACACACACACACACACACACACACACACACACACACACACACACACACACACACACACACACACACACACACACACACACACACACACACACACACACACACACACACACACACACACACACACACACACACACACACACACACACACACACACAATGTGGTTTACTAAACTGACGTAAAAGAAGCTGTAGGACACAAGGATGTCATTACACACCAACTTGGACCTGAGTGTGTGTGTGTGTGTGTGTGTGTGTGGCCAGTTTGAAATGGAACCTTAAAGCATGGATTTTCTGACAGATTTCCCATGAAGACAAATCGAATTAGGAAAATATCCAACAGCAAACATGTATCCTCTGTGTCTATAAGGTCCTCTGTGAGCCGTTGGTATAAAAGAAGGCCAAAGTTCAACCATCTGTACAAAGCTTTTTATCAAAAATGCATTTGAAGAAGTAAGAATCATGTTTTAAATCTAATTTTAATCTAAGAGAACATTCTAATTAATGTTGTATTAAGTTGTGATAGCACCTTTTTGATCTTGGTAGAGTGAATAACAGTCATGACTTGAAAGAAAATGGTTTGAAAGCTTCAACAGCAAAACAGAAACCAAGGGATAAATAGCAGCTCTAATGTGAAACATCACTGTGTATTGACATGTTTTATATAATGTAGCAGAATGTGCACTTCTTTTCTTTAACCTTCTATGTTTGCATGCAAATAGTTGTATTCTATTTTATTTCATCTTTTATTGGACATTGTACTAATTATGTTTGTATAAATATCTTAATTAAGTTATATTTTGTAAATTGAACATTCTTACTTTAAAATGATGCTTTTCAAGTTCATATTTGTATTTTGTGTCTCTACTATGTCTCCATGCTTTCATGTTCAAAAAGCTCTTTATTGTTCTCATACTGCCTGTGCTGCAGCACCTCTTTTCACCCTCTGTCTGAAACCAGACAGAGGGTGAATTGGTCGTGATTCGTCAACCGCTTACAGATGTCTCGCCCCTTAGCCTATCGTGTTCAATGTGTTGGAGCGCTAGCCAATAGAAGCACAAGTGTGACAAAGTGAAGTCACTATGTTACAGAAGTTAACAAAAGGAGTCCAATGGGGCAACCGTCACAAAACCACATTTCTCAAATGAAAAATAAAGTATTCTATTTCATATTAAATACAGTACTGTGCATCTCAGCAGTGAAACAACGTGAGGAAATCAGAGAGGAATCAGATGCCCTGATCTGTTTCCTTAAAGGTCCCATGTCATGCTTTTCCGGTTATTACCCATCCCCTTGTGTTGTGTAGCTTTTTCTGCATGTAAACGGTCTGCAGAGTCACAAACCCTCAAAGTACACCCTGTAGCAAGTAAAACTCTAACACAGAAAAGACCTGTCTATGCTGCCCCAGAACGCCTCGTTGGAGATTTTTATTTTCCATTTTTTTCTTCCTGGTCATAGTGACGTAACGAGCTCCTCACACACACACACACTCACCCAGCCTTATCTTTTCTCAGCCGCGGCTCCGCGGATTTCCAGGCTGTGAGTGTGTGCGTGTACTCAGGCTGAGTTCCGTGGTGTCACGCTGTCTCGCAGACCCCGCGCAGCAACCAGGAAACGACACCAGTAATCCAGCTCACACTGTCCACTCCTCGAGTCTCAAAGGGCGGAGCAGCGAGCCCCACAACGTCCCGCCAACACGGCACCCAGACCCCACGCAGCATTCTCATCTGTTTGTCATTACTGGTGTCATTTTCTGGTTGCTCACAAACGCCATTGTAACACATAATTACTGATGTTCCGCTGTAACGGTGGTGGACTCATCAGAACAGAGTGGGCGAGCTGACCAATCAGAGCACACTGGGGTCACAGGGAGGGGGGGGGCAGGAGCTCCAACAAGCCGTTTAGGACAGAGAGTGAATACACATACTATACAGAGATGCTGTATGAGAAACCAATGTGAGTTTGGAAAATTGCACAATATAAATCTATTCTAGTAGACCTCAACAATGGAATTATGATCAGTAGAAATGGCCATGACATGGGACCTTTAACTAAGAACAGCGGCAAAGAGCAGACCGCCGGCTAACTGTCACTTTAAGTCCACTCGGACTCACAGAGGCTTCATACTGCCTATGAACTCACTGCAGAGCCTGAAGATCACGCACACTACAAATCAATGCACACACACACACACACACACACACACACACACACACACACACACACACACACACACACACACACACACACACACACACACACACACACACACACACACACACACCACACACACACACACACACACACACACACACACACACACACACACACACACACACACACACACACACACACACACACACACACACACACACAACACACACACACACACACACACACACACCACACACACACACACACACACACACACACACACACACACACACACACAGCTCTGATATTAATAATCTGATAGAGCAGCCCAGTGTCTTCAAAGAGATACTAAAAGACAGGAGAGATAGAAGATTAAAAACGTTATTTGAAATTTGGACTTGACGGCTTTAGGATCCTAAACGAAAATGAGAAATCAGGATTTTCTCTACAGACCAAAAGAGAGAATCTTCAGATGAAGCGTTCATAACATGCTGTGGGTTGTGGGAAACTGCTCAACATCTTGACCTATACAATTTTGTTAAATGTTCTGCATTATGTGGCGATGTGCATTTCATTCAAAGTTCTAATCCTAGAATCTTTGCTCACATTTCTTACATATGTAGTATACAGTACTTAGTACACCTGGCAATAATTGGCTATGTAGAATGGCCCAGTCATGTTCTGTCATGTTACCAGCAATCCTGGCTTAAGAGCCCTACGGTATGTCAGGCCTTATTTGGAGGCGTAACGGTCATTCCTGCACAGAAAAACATGACCAGAACCTAAATAATAAAATAATATATCCTGATTAACGTGAATATCTCTATCTTCAGTCTATTAAACTTGCAATGTATCGTTTCCTACCGCTATGAGTGTCAAGAAACAAAACAAATAGAGTTTGATGAGGTTGGATCATTGGATCGACAGTTTTTGTCATCACAAGGAGGTTATTACTGGGAAATGATCCACAGAGGTCTCATCTTCTCCAAAACAAATGGACCTTGTTATTAAAACCACTTTGAATACAAAATGTGTGTTTCTCCAATGCAGTTTGGCTGCTGCTAACTTTGGCTAATAGGCTGCTTGTTGTTTCACATTGTCTTTAAACGACATGCACCTTATCCGACCCTTGTGTGTTTTAAAGGTAGCTCAGGGAAACAGAAAAACTCCAGAGTGAGTTATAAGAACACTTGTATGAGAAATCTTATATTCCATCTGTTGATCAGAAGCAGGACTGTAAGTCTCTCGACTTTTGTTTCAAAACATGTAGAACGTTTCCAGCAGGACGATAAATCAGCTTCCTGGCACACACTCACACACACACTGATATAAATAGATCTGATATCATACACAGAGGGATGCTCAGCTGTTCTGCCACATGCACACAAACACACACACTAACCTGGACTCAGTGGCTTTTCAACTTTGTCCTTTAACCCTTAACTGGAAGCTCTCTCTGTATAACTTTATAAAGATTAACAGCTCAGAGGGAAAGAACACAGAAATGTTTCTTGGTGATATTTATAGGACAAGTACATCATGTTTTAGAGTAACATAGAAGAACAACATGCTCACAAACACTAGAGTAGAGCCTCAAGTTGAATGCTGCACACTGGATAGAGACTCTCCTTAGAATGCCATCAAAAGAACATTTTCATTAAAACAAGCTTCCCTCTCACCATCATTCAAAAGACCGCGCCTGACACCAGCTTATGTATCTGTGTTTGGTTCATTGCATCCTCAAAGCTTTCCCGATGACATTTATAAGGGTGAAAACAAACACTGCAGAAAGGACAGGCTCTGTCTGATTGGACAGAAGACAGAAGGGGGGATGATGGGTACTTACAAACTGCCTCTTCTGGGAAGGCTCAGCTCCTTCTGAAAGAGAGAAATAAACAAAAATATGTTTTAATTATTTATGATTACTTCCGAGCCAATTAAAGGCGAACATCATCAACAATAAGACAGTTTTATCATTTATGTCAAACAGTCGAGCACTTGTGTCGTCAGTACAGCTTTGTGTCCAGCAGGTGTCACTGTGACATCACAAAGCAGCATCAACATCAGAGTTCATGTTCACAGTGTCTGTTGGTGTGCTTTTAAGCTACATGCTAACACATGCCAAGTATTACAAATGATTCATATTCAGGCTTTACTATTTAAAATGTTTGCGCACACAGGACTGTATAAAACCCAGATCATTTTACATAAAGTCACAATGTCATATAATGGAAGCACCAAATATTTGAAGATGAAAAAGCACAATAAGAAAGGGGGGAGAAATACTACTGAGCTAACATAATTAAGAAAAGTAATTCTAACAAAACACGAGTAGTTGGATAACACCTAAAGATATATATAACAGATAAGCGTAGCAAAACAAATAGAGGAAAGCAACCATTTAAATTAAATTAATTAAGCTCACTATCTTCACGGGAAATCTCATCTCTTAGTCTTAGTAGTACAAGTCTCATCTTTGGAAGTAAATGATTAAATAGCAAGGAGCCGGGAAAACCTCGATGTAAAGTGTGAAGACACCGTGTAACTTTATTTGGACAAACATTTCAATGTGTTGATCCCCGTATGAAAAGGACTGCACCTGAGCTGCACTTTGAACAAGTGACCACAAGGGGGCAGAGAAGTGTCATTACATCATCATGAGTTTAGGAGGAGACAACTCTCCTGATTTATGGATTAACAGACAATAATTATGAGAAGCAGCCTGCTACTTTTGGATTTGGATGCGTGAATAAGGTCTTACAGTGTATTTCAATCAAATAAATAGTGCTGTTTTTCTCTGGACGTTGTAAGATGTACAAACATTTTGTGGTAAAAAAGGTTCAATACAGATTTGGTATGTACACAACCTGTAAGCTGACAGCGCCTTCAAACAGTTTGAGAAGACAGACCACTGACATTACTGACTTCCTGGAGAGCACCATCTGGCCAATAGCACCAATTAGTGTGTGTGTGTGTATGTGTATGTGTATGTGTATGTGTATGTGTATGTGTGTGTGGTACATGCATTTTGAAATGGTGTGTTGCCAGGTTCCCAAAGCAGCTCAACAGCTGGTTTTTACTTTGAAAAATATAGTTAGCACCATCATCATCATCATCCATCAGTGTGACCAGTGCAGAGGTGCTTCATTCAGAGTGGGCAAAACACACACACGCACAGAAGCTGAATACATATAAGTGAAATAGTTGCTGATTAACACAAGTTGACAAATCAACAAAACGCTGCAGCTCTGAAACTGGTTGAGTTAAGGATTTCAGGAATGATGCATTTAAGTGCAATACTAAATGTAAAAATGGCTCTCCTAATCAGCTGTTTTGTAAATGCAGACGCTTCCCAAGAAGAAGAACAAACAGCTTCTGGGTAATAAAACGGTTTCCAACGGTTATATAAATAATTAAACCAGAAATAATGTCATTATTTTTCTGTACACACCTGCTCATATTATTTATGAAGATGTTCATTTGTAATTTGACTACTTATTTTATGTTTATATGTGAGCCCCTAACCATAGATTATTTTCTACATTTAGGCGTATAAATACAGTTTTTAGAATCTTGAGAAGGAAGTACTGACTGTGATTTATAATTGTTCCCGAGTCTTACATTTAATATTGCTGGCTCAACAACGTACAGAGCACTCAGAAGAGACAGATCAGAGATGCACCTTTCCGATTCCAACCCACTTTTATCTCTCCATCAGACTTTCTGTCCGTTACACACACTCTAACACACACACTCTACGTCCTGCGTGGGACGGCTGTGTCATCAGAGTCTCCCTCCATCTCCCCATATATCTGCGTGCAGATGGGCTAATGGACATAATGGAGTGTAGTTAGAGCACAGTGAGTGGCTGAGTGGCTGTAGGGCATGTGTGTGTGTGCAATGATAACATCAATCAACATTTTGCTAGTTTTCATTTGGCCTCTGTAGAACAGAACAGAGCCAATTAGCTGGTGTGTGTGTGTGTGTGTGTGTGTGTGTGTGTGTGTGTGTGTGTGTGTGTGTGTGTGTGTGTGTGTGTGTGTGTGTGTGTGTGTGTGTGTGTGTGTGTGTGTGTGTGTGTGTGTGTGTGTGTGTGTGTGTGTGTGTGTGTGTGTGTGTGTGTGTGTGTGTGTGTGTGTGTGTGTGTGTGTGTGTGTGTGTGTGTGTGTGTGTGTGTGTGTGTGTGTGTGTGCGCGCGCGCGTGTTTTGTCATACTGGACCCAGTGATTCTATTAGTGCTGAAAGCAGATGTTGTCCAGACCCAGAGGATTGGGAAATAGCTTGAACATAAGGAGCGGGGAGGTGATTGTTGATAATCTCCCTCCAGGCCTTGTTGACTAGCTCTTTAAAATGCCATATCTGAACTCAAAATCACAACAGAGATAATAACAGAAGCTAGTTTTACCCATAAAGGTTTGCTTGAGTGTCCAAGCTTGAATGACTACATTCTCAGCCAGTGAGGGGGAAAGAGCATAGACTGTATTTAAGAAGTAGACAAAGATACTGTGAGGTCATTCAATGGGTTCTAAACAAGTTTAAAGCCTCAAGTTTGCAGTTTTTGGCTTCGTTTTTGAACATCAACATTTTCTTTGTGGTGACACGAGAGGGTAAATCAAGTCACAACCATACATCTAAAGAAGATGTTTTTTAGGCAACGGAAATGTTAGAGTTCTAAAACAAAACCCCTAAACACTGTGGCAGCGACCTGGTGGTTTATCGGCTATTTGGCTCTAAATGGGACCATTATTTAAACAATGCTATATTGAAGAAGACTTGAAATTAGGGATAGAAGCCATCAAATCTCAGGTGATGTATGAATTTGATGTATTAATATTTGTATCGACCTTATTTTGCAACAAGCAAGTTGCCCCTACTGGCCATTAGAATAATGCAGGTTAAAGGCCCTTCTGCATTGGTTTCAGATTTTAGATCAGGAAGTTTCCCTTCAAAGGATTAGTTGTAATATCAAAATCATATTGAACGGGGATGTTGCACATTTTTTAGAAGAAACCATGAAGTGTATTATTTATGTTTTAAAACATGTTTTGTGGGGATTGAGGGGGACAGCACAGGTGCATAATATGTAGGAGAAGTCCAATGTTTACCTTAAAATAAAACCTGAAAGGAACAATGCAAAAACGCAAACCAACAAAATGATGTATTTCCTTTCATGTCATGTCGAGTCAATATAAAAAAAGGTGAATTGAACCGGCTCCTGAGACCTTTTCCCACCCACTACCCACTACCGCTCACCAACCTCTTAACCTTTCTATCATTACCCATCTCCCTCTATCTCCCTCACCTCGAGATTGACTCTCGTGTCTGGCCAAGAAACAGACACTCAGAAAAAGAGGCTAGAGATGGGGGGAAGATGAATGTCGGTGTGTGTGTGTGTGTGTGTATGTGTGTATGTGTGTATGTGTGTGTGTGTGTGTGTGTATGTGTGTATGTGTGTGTGTGTGTGTGTGTGTGTGTGTGTGTGTGTGTGTATGTGTGTATGTGTGTGTGTGTGTATGTGTGTGTGTATGTGTGTGTGTGTGTGTGTGTGTGTGTGTGTGTGTGTGTGTGTGTGTGTGTGTGTGTGTGTGTGTGTGTGTGTGTGTGTGTGTGTGTTGGTTGTAGCTGCTTCTATCTGAGGCCTGAGGGAGGATGCTCACCCCAAAGCCACCCTTCAGAAATATCCCAAGAGGGAAACTAAACTAATGCTGGATAATAAAACACACACACATACTGTACACACACACTATCTCTCTGCTTGTATTAAACAAACCAAAGCGATCTGTGATGAAATTATCCCCAGCGACAGAGAGGATAAGAGCAGCAGAACACAAAGCCTGAAGCAATCTGCGGGATGGAATACATCGATAACACGCTTTATGGCCGAGAGAGGCAGAGGAAGAAGGGTTGGGAGGGTGATGTGATTAGAGGGATGGGGTAAGAGAGGAGAGGGTGAGTGGAGGGGAGGAGATGTAAGGCTAAAAGGTAAAAGCTCGGGGTAAACATGTAAAGATGTGATGTCAGAGACTGGATCGCTGATGGAGAGTGTACCGGACAAAGACAAATAAAAGCTGTGCATCTTCGCTTCATCGTCAACCCTTTAATAGATCAATCTAATTAAAAATGAGGAAGCAGCTCCTTGATACACTGTTCCGCCTCAATGACATTTAGTAACGGTCTGTGCTAGTAAGGGATTTATATGCTGGCTACTTTTTTATTCAGAATGTAATGGACTTTTTTCAGTGAGTCAGCTGCAAAGAGATTGCATGAAATAAAGGGAGGGAGAGATGGGGGATTTAAACACTGTTAAAGTATCAGAAAATGGCTACTGAGGTATGTCTACGTGTTGGATCCAAGGTCTCCGTTTTTAATCCAAACCAACATGGTGGCTCATTTGCAAACCTTTTCTTATTAAACGGGGAAAAAATGTGTTTCTAAAAAATAAATTTGAGGTTAAAAATAACCCTGCTGAATTAGTCTTCATTGGTTGATCAAAAAAGGCTAGTTCAATGTTTTTAGGACGTTTTCTGAGGTGAGAAATTGTCAATCGCAATTGTTTATGAAATCGGTAGTTTCTACACTCTTTGAAGAATCAAGTACACATCGGTGTACCTTTGCAGTTTTTTATTTATTTTGACTCTGAATCAAGTGTATTATGGTCACAACTCATCTCGTAGTTGTTTGGCTTATTTCTATACTCTGTATATCATTATTTTGTTAAACAACAATGGAGGAATGGGAAATGTTCTTGCAGAACTGCAGCTGTTTACAAAGTGGGCGGTAACTGTTAAGCTCTTTTACAGTAGCCAGCTTACCACATGTGTACCCACACTGTCAGACCGCTGTGAGCAGCCGCTGAGCTTCCAGGCAGCGGAGGCTGT